TCAGATTGTTTTGGTTATTTTACCAGGTCAATCACCTGCAAGTAACAACCAACAACCGCTGCTCTTTTCACTTCCTGTTTCCTTGTTGTCCTTCCTTTTTTTAGTAGTCATGTTTTCCCATATTTCATGTTCTGACTTTTTAAAAGATGGCACTGAAATGCAAATGATACCGTTTTTCATCTCCATCAGCCTTTCAGCACCTTCTCCTTTAGCAGGTCCAAGATGACCTGCCTCTCTTGGCTCTCCAATTCAAATCTCCGCTCCCTCTCTTTTCTCTCCGCTCCCAGACGCTCCCTCTCCAAAGCGATCTTACCTGAGATTAAAAAAGGGAAATAAATAAATGTAATTCCCCTTGACAGCATAGTATGTAACTATTTCCTCCTTCACTCTGAGATCAGTTATAAAAGGACTTTTATTGTTTTAACCAATGTAACTCTCTTTTAGTGTAATGGTTCCTATTTCCTTTCCTTACTTTAATTCAGCCTAGTTCTATACGTCAGAATGGAACCAGGCTGAATTAAATGAATTTAATTTTAAAATGAATGGAAATTCAAAAGGATTATTGGACTAATTTTAATTTGAACTTTATTAGAAGATTTTCTAGGATAAAATAAACAAGGTTGTTATTACCCATTTATTGTTATTACCTATTTTAGTTACAGTTAATGTTCTGATAACTAACATCAGTGAGAAATGTTAAATTACACATCCTCTGTGACCAACAATTTTTTATTTTTGTGGGAGAATTTCCAAGTCATGTGTGCTTTATGTTATCCTCTCCAGTGAGTTAAGATACAGATATCCTTTCTCGGTCAGGATGCTTACTTCCACTAGGTAAGGTTAAGAGCATGTGTGACATGAGGCGCTGTCCTAGTCAGCCTCCTGACATCCATGTGTGTACAAGGAAGCTGGTTTCAAGTGGTTCTCCCAAGGTCTTCTGTTCTGATAATGTGTTGAGAATTGTTTCTTCAGTATGAATTTGACATGCATACAACGATATGAACACTTAATACTCTCTGATCAGAATAAATGCAACATATTTAAGAAGACAATACTGACTGTCTGAGCACTTTTGTAATTGAGGCTCTAAACTAGTGAAAACCCAACTGCAATACTTTGCAAACAGAAACCTTTAACAAAGTTAGGACATATATTTTCACTCATTGTTAGATTTCAAATCAAATTAAACGTTCTCTATAATCATCTTACTCCTTTGAATCTCTAGTTCCTCCCGGCGCAGGGCAAGCTCCTCCTCTCGCAGCCGCTGCTCCGCCTCTGAGCGTTTCTCCAGGAAGCTGAGGATCTCAGAGTAGGTCTGGCAGCAGCACTGGCAGGGCCGCTTGGCTAATGGTGCCGCTGTTAGCTCAGCCATTTCTTCATGGTCATCTTCTGGTTCTGCTGGGAAAGTAACAATGGAGATATAGTATACCCATTAATGAAAGGAACAGTCTGGTCCTGTCCAGTGTCTTGAATTTGTGTTTACCTGCAGTGGGTGTTTGTGTAACGGTGATGTTGGGTTTGTCCTGTTCTGGCAGAGGTAATTCGTCAATGGTTCGCTTGTGCAACTCATCATCCTGGGAAAGATAAGGACAAGATTACTTCTGGAACAAGGAAGATAAATAATGATGGGCAGTTTTAGCAACAGTGAAGCAGAGAAAGTAGCTGTAAAAATAACAATACAAATAGTAAGAGTACAGTATGAGTAGTTGTAGCAGCAGTAATAGTGCTAGTGGTACTGGCATAAGTAGTAAAAAGAGTTGGTTGGGTTGCAAGTAAAATTGTGAGTAAACTGAAAGCCACCAAGAGGAAGAAAATGGAAGTGTCTGAGTTACACCAATTTCTCAGGGTAGCCTCAGTTCTAGTGAAGAGTTAGAACAAACAAGCTATAATGGGCAGCCTGACGCAAGCAAGAGGGTAGAGTGAGTTGTCCAAAGCAAGCTGAAAACACACTGTTACATCTAATCTCAGATGATGAAGACTACCATTGGGTCCTAACCAGAGCCAGTTAGACCCATCAGGAGTCACAAAATAAATAAATCTGAGGGGTCGAGCGATGATGGGTGAGACAGGATTAAAGAGAAATGAGTATTTTTATCTTTTGGGTCTTTTCGCTAAACTGTGCTCTATTTTTGTGAAACAATAAGCATTTTTTTGCATCGTCTGGCCTTTAACCATTACTCAGATGAAACAATCTAAGAGAAATTGAAAGAAATATTACACTTTAGTAGCACTGCTGACAACAGGGGGCTGAGAATCAAAATGCCTTCATTTTAAGAAGGCATAAGCTTAAAAAACTGAGAACACTAGACAGCTCAACGGTCTTTGGCTTTAATATTTATGTCAGACAATTAGAACAACTGTTTAGCTCAGAGATGTAAAAACAACTTTAATTTAATCTTTGCCCAAGAACAATATCTGACAAAATAAAAACATTGTAGTATGAAACTATATGATGGATACTGTAATGGCTGATCTGATCTAGTCCTCTAAACCAGCTCTGATAAAATAAATTCTCTGCTGACATGAGACTAGTCGCACCCACCTGATACTTTGTGCCCTTGCCGCTGGACAGGAGCCCCTTCTCGGCCTCAAGCTCCAAAACCTCATGGAGCAGATCCTCCTTTTGGGCGTACAACCTTTCTGTTCCAAACCTGAGAACACCAAGTGCCAAGATAGGGACAAGCACGTCTCTAAGTCACCACACACTGAATGCAGTTCAAGGGCCTTAGTCCATCAGAAAACAGTATGGTTTGCTTTAATTTCTCTGAAAATATGAGTCCCGTTGACTGCACCAACCTGCGCAGGCTGGGAAAGTCTTGTTTCTTGTAGTAGTCTAGCAGCAACATGGTCCTCTCCCTACACCTCCTGGCATCCACCTCAAAGTTTTCATCTTGGAGGGCTGCTGTGATAATCTCCCCCACACGTGCCCAGATCCGTCCTGAAAAAGTTTAATGAGGTCACACACAACTGAATATACAGCACAGTGTATAGGCCATTAACTCTGTGACCAGTTAGCTCATGCATACACAGGTGTCTCATGTTTTTCATTTGATTAATTTAATAATATAGTAATAAAGGACCAACCTGGCTCTTTGGAAGAAAAGGGATTCTGGGCGATGACCTCTCGCAGAAGGATGATATCATGCCGAGCTGAAAAACGCACCTGACGCTTTCGTGGGGTTGTGGAAGGGCCAGCAAGGGAAAAGCCTGAAGTTGGTCATAGAATAAAAAGATTATCATAGAATAGTAATAGAATAGTAATATTTTGAACACGGTAACATTTTGAAACATGTTAAGGTCACATAATAAATTGGAAAGTCATCCTTCACAAAGCAGGCCTGTTTGACCTCTGACCTTCATGTAAAGAAACAAATAATATTATCCACATTCACACTTATAGGCAATTTAGCATCACCGTCAAACCTGACTTGCATTTAGACTGTGGGAGGAAGCAAAGAGATAACATGCACACTCCACACAGGAAGGCCCCGACTGGCCACAAAGTTCAAATCTAGAGCCTCTTTGTTGCAAGGTGACAGTGTTAACCACTGCACTACCGGGGCAGCCCACAAATATATCATATCCTATAATTTATGCTATTATAGTTATTATTCTAATAATTTTGTGAATTATGAGATATTAAGTCCAACTGGGGAATACACTAAACACACTGGAACCTCAGGACACCACTGCTTTCACTGGACCAAAACTACTACACCTCCTTGCATAAGATTACAAGTAGTATTAAAGTGACCCATGTTAGATAAGTATATGGACTTTCAGGAAGACAATTTAGTATTAAAATGTATTTTTGTAAAAGTGAGTTATCTTCATTGTTTACGTATGTAACTGCAGGTTATTAGTAGACTCGTGACTAACTGCTGGAGTGTGTTGGTGCAGAAATAGGCGGTGACAGCAGTCTGTCGGCTGCAGAGCTGCTGTTTGACAGATGACAGCAGCTCTGTCACTGCCGTCGTCCGCTGTGCACAAGTGAAAGAAGCTGGTAGCCTGCAGCTACAAGAACTGAACGGTATACAGAGAGACGAGACACAGCCCACAGGCTGTAAAAGCACTGAGAACCGGACAATGCGTCAGGGGCAGAGATTTGAGCATTTGTGCACGAATCGAGAGTAAATGTTAATATTAAGTGGTTAAGACGTGGAGGTGGTAATATAGCTCACCGCTGTTCATCGGCACTTCCACCACTACCCGTTCCATGCTTCTGTTTGGTGCATCCGGGAACCGTCTGACGCGCACTGTACACGTCCACTCACCAGTACAGGTTCACTTCTGACGTGTAACTCAACTTGGCGGAGAATCAGAATCTGGCAAAACGGCTCCTCGCCTTTAGTTGCACTTACTCAAACTGGCCACAAGATGGGGATAGAGGTCTGCTGGAGCGCTGCGTGCCATGGTGTGAAGTTGGCTGCTGGGACAAACTACATCTGCTGCGGACTGAGGGAGGAACATTCAGTGTTTAGACACCACAGGTGGCTCAATGGACAGTCGATAAGCTCTCAAAAAAGCCACCAGTATATGGGTAAACAAAGTTTCCCTGGCTATTTAATATTTTTTTAAAAATACACAAAAGAAGCGTTTAATCATTTCAATCTTTTGCAAAAACTAGAATGAATTGTAAAATAAGGTAATCCTATGTATGCCGTAGGTTCTGACATACAAAATCTTACATTTTCTTTTGGTTTATTTGCAGGCTGCCACAAACATCGCCTGCATGCACCTGAAGTTATGTGACCTACAACAAATGCCGAAACAAAATAACCTTCATTTCTTTGAGCAGTTAATCAAAAGTGAAGGGGTCAAAATCAGGAGTCAAGTTATTCTTTCTTCCCTGAAGCAATCATATACAGTATTATAGAGAAACATGAACTGAAGAAGTTAAAGGTGCAGAGAAAAAAGAGAAAAGTAATACATGACCATAGCCTTCTCCAAAAACAAAACACACAGACCTGCAGATGCTCACATGCACACTCACACTTTCTCATTGCCACTTTGTCATTTTTGTGAGCAAACCTGCATTTGCATGACATTGCTTGCTGACAAAATGAAATGGAGATAAGCAGGGATACAGACCCAGGACCTGGCAACCTGCTGCATCGTAATCATTTCATTATTTGGTTAGAGGTGCTGGAGAGGTGCTGTGTTTTGAGAACACACTAGGAGGGAATAAAAGAAGGAATGGCAGCAGAGAGCACAGACTAGTGTATGAGTCAGAATTGCTTTTTGAAAGGGATGAAATCAGTTTTGTTTCACGTACTGGTGAATGAAGTTAATGAAACATGACAACCTTCCAAGTAGAAGCGCAAGTTGTGCCCACGCTCTCATTACTGGTGACTGTGATGGGAGTGTAGCTGTCATTTAGAAACCCCTGGTCTGCGGAGAGATGACACCAGACAGGAATGAGAAACAGCAGGAGACAGTTTGTCAAACTGCAATAGAACCATGTGACAGACACTGACAGAGGATGGTAAGAGAGAGAAATACCTGTCATCATAATCACCATCAGCTGTATAAATCCTGTGATAATATAGTGCAAATCATCACTAATGCACAGGCAAGAATAGAAAGCAGGCGAGCCCCAGCTGCCTGTGAACCAGCAGCTGGTGTCCTCAGCTGCTGAGATGCCAGTGGATTGTTAATAAGCCAGGACACACGGTCCTGGTCCTGCTAGGATCAAAGACCTTTTTTCAGTAGTTGTTTCAGAACAGATCGCCCTTCACAAGAACAACAAGAAGAGGTTTTTTTGTTCTTTTCCCATTAATCAGTCTCCCTCCAAAAGACCTCCCCTCCCCTGCTGTGTTTACAAAGCATGTTTCTGCTGTTGGACACTATGGCATTGTACCAGTGTTGTGCCACGAGAACATTCAAAACAGGAGACTGTGCACTTTACAACAGTAACACATTAATACAGAAACCAGTAGCTTTACACTCTATAAAACTATAATTTACATAACACCAACATTACAATTTCAGCATGTAACCAGATATAAAAAGAAAGATTAATCATATACAATAAAAAAGTCAAGTAAATATTTAGCTACCTATGTTTGTGTCAGTGTCCTGCTTTTACTGTAACAGGCTGCTTTTTAAAACATAATCCTCCCACAGAGGTTTGATGACCCAGTAAAAGTCAGAAACTGTTATATGGGTGTTTCCCAAAAACATACCATATGTTATAACTGACAGGCATTACTGGTGAATGTTCAATACTCATCAGACTGCAAGGAAAACACACTCGTGCAGCAGCACATTTCCCCTTTGTTTGGCTAGTCCAAATGGCTACTAAACTTCAGCAGGCAGTAACAAAGTGGTTCAACATGAGGAAATGATTCAGGAGTATAATAACAGGAAAAGTCATCCCTACTGTACGCTACCCTTGGAAATTTGCTAGAAGTACTAGAAGTAAAAGTGGACAAAATTTTAAAGTGATTTCACTGAGCCCCATAGTATCTCCTCGTGAGTGGGGAATACATGTACAACACGGTTATTGTGATCATGTGCACATGTTCAGTTTCTAGTTTTTGTGTATTTTGTGTATGAGGTATCTGTGGCAATGAGTGGGGCTTTATATTCTGTCTCACCCAGACAGCGTCTTCTGGAAGGACAGTTCAGGAGCTGACAGAACAGATGTTTTCTGACACACAGCTTCCACCTATTACATCCAGGTAAAAAAAAAAAATCATTTCTAAATTTCAGCAACTACTTATTATTTGCAACATCTAACAATTACTACAACTGCTTGTTATTAAAACTGGCAATTAACAGCCTTTGTCTCATTGCAAACTGAGAATGAATTTGAAAAAGTTTTGAGGCATGAATTTAAGATTTTTTTTAAAAGAATTTCACTATTAATTTAATAAATTTAAGAATACTTACAGTATGTTCTTTCTAGAGATAAAGAAGACTGATACCTCTCTCACAACTGTTCTTTGCAGTTGAAGGTAACTGTTTCCCTCTGCTTCTAGTCTTTATGCTCAGCTCAGCTATTCACTTCCTTGTTCTACAGTAGCTAGATAGTTAATGGTTTTACTCTTCTGTCATGTAACTCTGTACTGAGTCTACACTGGTCATTTTGAATGTTTGTTATCACATTTTTCACCTTAAAAACTTGAAGGATTTTGCCAGCTTCAGTGAAATTGTCCAACTGCCTTTAATATTCTGCAGCAATCTCACTCCCAAGAAACAGAAACAAAGGTCAGTAGCATGTTGCGAGAGATCTATGAACAGATGATCAGTCCACATGTGAGAGGAGTATGTTTAATTTACTTCATTTACAGCTTTAACTGCAAACATTTAAAAACCTTGTATCCTGCTATTCAAAAGAACAGCTTCTTTAAGTCGTCCTCTAGTAATTTTTCAACACATGCAGCCTTGCATTAGATTCCAGTGAAGTTTGTTACTGCTGTACATGGCAGCACCAGATGAAACAAGAACTGAGAGTATACCATCAAGTAACCATAGTAACAAAGCCGTGACAGCTACTGTATGTCTCATTATCATCCTGGGCATGTAAATAAGCTCAGGTACATGTACTGCACATGTATGCTCATACTGTTTTGTTCTCCTTTATTTCTCACACACACATGTACAAACACATCCTATCTGTCTCCCCTTATATCCAAAGAACTGTGCAGAAGGTGTACAGAATTGTGGCGTTGCCCTTTTTTTCATGGTGATCACTATGAGCTGCCCTTGTGGGAACTCAGAAGTGTTTTCACTAAAGGATGACTCACACTAAAAATTAGACCCCCCACTTCAACTCAACTCTTATATCGTGCTCTCTCTCTGGCTCCCTCTCCTGTGATGCTGTGCCTCTCCTAGGAAGCTACGTGGTCACTGCCACGTTTCTAAATATTTTCTGCTGAAAAATCTTGAAGCTTTGCTAGACTCATGCAGAGCACAGTCAGGGGATGTAACGTACCCTCCTCCAGCTCGTGTAAACTGCTGATTTTATGTCTTAATGTGAAAACCGAAGAAGACAAACACATCACACACTCAGAGTTACTACACAGAAAAATATTTTCTGATTAGACGAAGGTCATGTTTAGGGCAAAGAGCTCTCTTTACTCAGTGCAGCTTTTCGTTTCCCCATCATGCTGTACCAAAACGCGTTTTAACATTACTGACACACATCCGATTCCATCGTGAACCTCCATGGCAGCACAAAAAGTGTTAGGTGGGTGATGCATGACCCAAAGTCTCTGTGACAGTATTGAGGCTGAATATCAAAGATCCAGTGACTGAGCAAATGAGACAGCTGTGTTTGTGTGTCTAACCCAAGTTTGGAATAAGCCATAAAAGAGAAGGCTGTGTCAAACAGAAATGAAAATCAAACTGAGAGGTTCACTGAGCTATTTATAATAATTTTAAAAGGTTTAAGAGACATTCATTTACCATCTAACCTCTACCTCTAGTTGTTACTGTCTACTTAATCTTCAAGACCGGTGGGAAAAAAACTCAGCAGCTCTATCATAGCTGATATTTATCAATTATAAGAGGGCTATGTTATCATGAAAATGACAACAACACTATCACATCAGTTTGTCTTTGATTAGGTGATAGTATTTACTTTTGTCACACCTCTTTAGTCTCACCTCTCTGATCCATCCAACCTTCTTCATTGTCTCATTGTAAAGATATGAGGTATATGGGGTTGCTATGGCGACTGCTCTTCTTGGAAACACACAGATCAGCTCTGTAGTTTGATTGGCCACTACATCCCTGTTCCCCACATCCTGGATGTACTGTATGAGCCACTGGCTACTGAAGGGCCTGACAGACTTGCCCTAGAACATATTAAAGGCATAAAAAATTTTAATTCGGGGTGGTAACATGCTTATGCTTATGCATAATGGGCTCAAGAGTTTTGTCCCTGACCAGTAGATTCATATGAGACATATCGTAAGTAACCCATTTAAGCCACCACTGTGTGATGCCCATCTTTACCACTTGAGTGGTTTAAATACTGCAGATCACTAGTCCTAATATTAATATATATTAGGTCTGGTGATCTGCAGTGTCAGTTGAGTGCCAATCCATATCATTTGTGGAAACATGCATATAGATAATATGATACTGAGAGCAAGTGATTAAGAAAGGCTAATTCATTGGGAAAGTAGTTCATAGCTGCTGATACCTTATTAGCTGATAAGCATATAGTACCTAATGGACATGTATGTATGTATTTTATCTTCATGTGTGCTCCCACATGACACTCCAGTCATTGACCTTCTGCTGTCAGTGTTAGTCCCCCTGTACTATCTGTTGAATTCTCATCAGAAATATCTAAGGAAATACTGAAGTAGGAAGGTCAATCTTGTCAAAAAGCATCAGTAAAAATTACCCCCCCGCAAAAATGATGTTCTTCACTGATCCAAGAAGCAAACAAAACCCCACTACAGCCCACAGTTCACAGTGTGGAACGTTTCCATCATCAGTGATGGAAAAATACTGCAACATAATGTATAGAACAGCAGACATCAATCACTAGTAGTTAACTATTCTTAAATGAAAACTAAGAATGATAAGACATTTGTTTTTTTTTGTTAACAGACCATTTTTCAAAAGGTTATATCCCCTTTGGTCTGAGTCAAATCACATGCAACTTCGTCCAAGCAGAGCTCCTGATGAATGTCACTTTCATTAGTGATATCTCCTTAGTGCTAATTATAAAACAGCGTCTAGTCTGGCCTGCTCACTCCCGCAGAAGAGTTACTTTTTAAATGAGGAGGTGACAGTTTTCCAAGCTCACTCAAGTCTTTAAATATCAAACCTGTAGGCGAGCCATGGTAGCTTCTTCCATTTAGTGTATATACTATACATACGTGTGCTTGTGCTGTGATGTTTCTGTCTTTCAAACCTGTCTGACTGAAAAGGATAAATAAATATAGTATGTCAGGGTGTTTCTTTTGGAAACTGTTAGTCAGAAGAAGTTGGCTGAGTATGACTCACACACACTCGCACAAAATCAGATAGGAAATCAAAAGAGAAAGAGGCAAACACAAACTTGGGTCTTAGGATGAAAAACACGCTACCTGATCTTTGCAACATCCTATGCTCTCCCTCTGGGAAATTCTCATTTGTACAGCTCTGTCCATTTTTCAAAGTCCTTCTTGGTCTGAAAAGCAGAAACTGGAAATACTGACTCTTGTGGAATGGCCAAATTGGTTTGTGGCCCCTGTACCAGCCCTGTGAGTGGGGCTATCATTCCGGCTGCAGTCTACATAATGGAGCATGTGAAGCCACAGCACTCCTTCAGCAGGGTGAGGCCTGTCTTGGTGAAGGGGGAAGAGGTCTGCTGAGACCGTCTGGTCGGTACACCTGGAGCACAGAAACATCACACCGTAAGAACAAGATGTTTTTCAAAAATAATGTGGTTTGTTGTATTATGCCTGTGGCAAGAGGCAATTTCATCTGTCTTCAACTACCATCACATTCTCTTTCACACATAAACATACACACAGAGACAGAAAGAACACTCAGGTTTCAGTATTGACTGCCAACGTATAAACAGTTCAGATTATTAACGCCAACAGGCAGATTTTTTCAGTCAGGTCAGAAAGACAGGGAATATCTGCCACTGCCTACTGCCTGCACAGCTTCTAAAACTGCGTATTACTTGTCAATTTGGTGATGCAACACAGGAAATATCTGCCACTGCCTACTGTCTGCACAGCTTCTAAAACTTCGTATTACTTGTCAATTTGGTGATGCAACACACAGTTACAGCTCTTATTTTGCTTAAATACCTGTCTTCTTCATATTTTTTGGGAATTTGGTCTTCAGAAAATCTGCCATTTCTTTATCTTCTTCTTTCTCCCTGTAGAATTAAGGAAAATAAATGCATAAAAATTGATGAATACACAAAGCACTTGCATTATAATATCTGTTTCCTTTGCAAAAGAGATGCTGTCCAAACTGTATCCTGAGTGGGTTATGCTTATGATATATCGTAACAGCCAAACATGACCTGGGCTCGCCCTCTGTAATGGATGAACATTTTAAAAACATTTCCCAAGGTGGCTCAGCTACTTTCAATTCCCACTGCCTCTCTGACTGCAAAAAGGTGGATTTTACTAAAGAAGAAATGAACACCTTTCCAGACTCCTACAAGATAAGAGAAATAATGCAGCTAAGATTAATTTATTCCTAAAGGTTCTACTAATAAATTCAGTAAATCTGAATCTGCCTCGGAGTTGAGTATTTCTGTGCAGTGTTGCTTAGTGTAGGATATTTGTGAAGATACAAGGATAAGTGTCAGAAATATATTGTATATTGATATCAAATACAGTTATGTTATGTAACAAGCAAACGTCTTGTAACAGTGTGCGCTGTGTGGTGTGAAAACTGTAGAAATAAATACTTTGTGAAGGACATTTTTATATTCAGCATCATGGCCTTGAGCGCCATCACATCCTCTTCTTGCTGCGAACCATTATCACACTGTTCTGCTGCTTCCTGCCTCTCAACTTCCCAGCAGCCCTTAAGCATTTCCACAGTGTGCTGTCAGCTGTCAACACAAGATGTAGCTCACACAAACTAAGAACATTTTATACTATCTAAGAACTGAAGTAGAGAGGAGATTAAGTTGATAACGGTGGCTGAAGTTCTTCTGGAGTGCAAGACAAAACATCTCAAAACTGAAAGAGCAGCTGTATCATCAGTAATAAAGGTTTAATTTGCAGTATGGCCATGTTAAATTAATAAAGCAATAACAAGAATTTTACATGTTTGTATAAAATGGAGTGAATGGAGTTCCCCCTAAGCTGCCAGGAAACCACAGAAGCAGAGGCACACCTGAGTCGTTCGAACTCCACATCATCCACCAGGAAATCTCGGGTCTCGACCAGCTTGTGGATCTGCTGCAGCAGTTCTTCTTCCTTCTGCCGGTCTTCGTTGGACTTGTCATTATCTGCAGCGCAGAGGAAGAGAACATCTGAATAGTTAGTGTTTATCCCACAAAAACTAAGTAAACAAGACAATAAACAAACATTAAACAAATAAATATACTTAGAAGAAAACAAATGAGTAACTATATATGGAAATCTATCCATTAATTTATTTGAATAAACAAACTTTTTTTGAAATATGATTATGAGTTTTAGATAAGAATAATGATACTACTCTCATGTTTGTACCTAAAGTATGGAGGTAGAGTCAGGGGGTGATTAGCTTAGCTTAGCATAAAGAGTGAAAGCAGGCTCAGTGAGATAACTCAGCTCTTTTCAAAGTTAAAACATATTCCTCTCTTCATTTCTAAAGCTCATTAACACATTGTATCTTGTTTATGTGTTCCATACATTCACAGAAACCCAACTCGGTGCTACATAGGCGTGCTGGGTAGGTGGGAAACTATTGTTCTAGATTTTTTTTTTTTACTTTTCTGTTTTTGTATGGATGTAAAGGATGATATACAACATGTTAATTAGTGCGCTTAAGGAGTGACAGTAAGCAGATTTTTTTTAAAGCTTTAATGGTCTTTAGAGTCAGGCTTGTTAGAAATTAACCCAATTCAAATCTTACAGGCTAGAGACTCCCTTTACTTCCAGTCTAAATGCTAAGCTAGGCTAACAACCTGCTGGTTCTAGATTCGTATTTAGCATACAAATCTAGTGAAAGAACGTAGGGTGGCTGTAGCTAAGGAGGTAGAGCGGGTCGTCTCCTAAATGGAAGGTTGGTGTTTCATTTCCTGGCTTCTCCAAACCACAAGCTGAAGTGTTCTTGAGCAAGACAAGCCCAAGTTGCTCCGGGTAATATCACTGGTGTTTGTGAAAGGGTGAATGATCAAATAGTGTGAAAGTGTGCTGCAATGCATAGAAAAGTGCTATACAAGTATAAGACCATTTATTATAATTTCAGATATTTTTTGGCAAATAAGCATATTTCCTAAAATGCCAGACATTTCCTTTTTGTCTGGTTTTGTCCACTATCAACAACTCTCCAGTGGAAGCATGTGGACTCCTACCTGGTATGGAAACTAACTTGTGCAGCTCCTTCTTCAAACGTGTGATCTCCTTGCACAGCTGAATGTCATCCATCCTGCACAGGCATTATGTTGCAAAACAAACAGACACAAACATGAATGTAAATAGTGCAAATGCTGCACTTACCATCTACTTTAAAGGGTGGTGAGCATTGAAATCTTGACTTGGCTTGATATTGATCTTATGTGTCATACAGGAGATGAAGAGTGTGTTTTCTGAACAGAAATCCCTGCGGTGTCTGACTCAGATATATTTGACTCAGTCTATATCGCATGCTTTCTCTTTCAGTAATCATTGCTGACACGGAGGAGTGGCAGGTCGTCATAGGATGCAGCATCACAGCAATAGAATATTTTTTTGAAACAGACACCTTACGACATGCACAGGGTCAGATGCACACTTGCATACATTCATTAGTGCCAGCAGAGTGAGAACTGCACCACCATGCTTCATCAACCTGTCACAAACGATGCTGTCCACATGGCCATTTCTCCAAGTGTAGGTGAAGAAATGGCCATGCTGTCTGGAATACAAATGATACACTTAATGTACACACTTCAGAGTTTGCTTGTTTGTGGACCACAGAGGAAAAAAAGTGTTTCCAATCGTGACTCTCATCTCTGTCTCCTTTCCCTCCTCCTCCTCCTCCTCCTTTTCCTCTGTTTCCCACTTTATCTGCCTCACTCTTGCTTGCTACTCCGCACATGCCGCTCCTCACATTCTCCCTTTTATCTGAGCAGTGTTACTGCCTATCTTTCAGAGGAGTAGATGAATAAATATCCATGCATTAGGCTGCTTAACAGAAGCAAAAATAAAGCCATTGAAATGTTAATGGGGGCCAGCTTGGAGTGTGATGGAGAGAAATGAGGGGAAAGAACAGAGGACATTGCTGCTTGGAGAAGTGTTTCTGATTCCAAGTTGCACTCTGGTATGAGAAAATATGAACTGGTATGGAGGGCATGGAAGATGCTATTCTCCTGTGAGGTGCTAGCAGATGTGTGAGAAGCAAAGTGTTGGTGTTGTTAAGTCACTCACATATATCTGAGTTCTGACTCCCTCCTGACCAGGACGTCCCTGATCCTCTCAATCTTAACGAGCTCCCCCTCGATATCATCCACAGTGATGGTGGAGTCCGCCATGGACACCACATCATCCTCTGAGGGAGAGAGAAAGAGAGGACAGTTTTTAGTCTTTCTTTTAGAAATGATCTTCTCTGGCACTGCAGAACAACAACTGCACATGAATCTGCATTTTAAGTTGCTTAACCAGCTACAAATGTAGTTTGATACTGCTGCTTGATGAGGAGTAGAGCAAAGCTTCAACACCCAATTACCACGTGAATGGTACATACTGTATTCTTAGGCATGTGGGACTCATGGCTGCTCTCTCTCAACACACCAGTGCACACCCACATGGAAATGTATTAACTGTGTAAACCTGAGTTTGAGGTTTAAACCTCCTTTCTGTATGGCTGTCAGACACGTGTTGCAGTCCTATCTGTCATGCCTTATTCTGCTGTAGACAAAGAGTTCACTGTTCTGTCATTCAGTGTAAAAACATAATCCCATGGTGTAATCAACACAAACAATGCACAGAATCAGGTAAAAAACAATTCCAGAGCCAAAATGGCTGTTCAAAAGATCAGCAGCAAAAAGTTTGATAAGTGACATATTAATTTCGGTTATCTAGCAAAAACACAAAAATGTCTGGTTCCAGTTTCTTCATTGTGAGGATTTGTCTGTTGTTGGTGTTTTAAATACTGTAGTTGTAAAGTGAAGGTATGTGGATTTTGGTCTATTGCTTGGACAAAACTGGCATTTGAAAATGTCACAATGGATTCTGGGAAGGTGTGATGGACATTTTGTTTAATTCTTTTCTAACAATATATAGAATTGACTGATTATTTAAAAAACAATAGGTAGAGTACAAAGTACCTAATTAAAGTCATTGTTAGCTGCAGCCCTACTTCCCTAACACGGCTCGACAAAAACCTAAGGAAAGAGGCAGTTTCTCTGTGTCCACCTGTGTTGACATGCATATAATTTACTTTCATAGATTACTTCTTATATTCAGTATCACAGTTTGTAGTATTACAATGGCACAACATTAAAGTAACAATGAAGGAAACTAAATATACAGTATGAATAAAGAAAGAAAAAACAAAACAACTTTTAGAATTTATTGTCACTTTTTCTAAAGCAGAGGAGTCAGATGAACTTTAAACTCGATCACACTAGGAAAATGCTTCACATGACAGGTGATGACTTTGCTCACACTAAATGATTATGTTTTTTAATTAATATTTTACAAATAATCAATTTTGATAGTTTAAAGTACCTAGCGTGTGGTACTTCATGTTCACAGAAACACAGGATGGTTCATAATGATTTCTGCAGAACAGTGAAATGATGGTGACTAATCTCTACAGGAATTTTCTCTTTCACACACATCAGCTCTGCTTTCAAGCAATTAAATAATCATATTCTGCACAGAAGGTGCTTTGATGGCTTGGTGAATAGTACATGCTGTGGTTAAATCTATCCCATTATGCATGCCACTCAACAGCAGCTGCAATTACCCCTAATAAACCAGTTGTTTTAGCCATGCACACCAAAATACATACAGATATAATTTATGATTGACCTTGTTGAAGACATAAAGACCTGTGACGCCAGCTGGACATTACAGTGGAAGGAAATCACTACTGACTGGTATTGAATAGTTCCATTATGCACTGTAGCAGTCCTGGATAACTGTCCCCACCCCTGTGGAGAGCTGAAGCCCTCTTTTGATACACGACATTAGGTAGTAGAGCCTTAGCATGTAGTTCTTTATTGGGTTCAAAGAAAAGTGAAGACACTTCTTCTGCAGTAAAAAAAAGAACCCAGAAGGGAAGAAGTTTATAATATAGTATATATAATAATAATAATAATAGTTCAGACTTGTATGGCTTCAGGGTACTAGCAGCCTAAACACAATGTGGAAAGAATTAGCTACGCTTAGTGATAATTGCCATTTTAGATATCCCTTCTGGCATTAAAGCTTTGTTTGTGGGCTTACAGCTGCAGTCTGCTTTGTGTGACAGACAAAGTGAGATGCTGAAGTGCAGGCACACATCCTCACACAGACACTTTGTGCTCTGTTACTATGACAGATCTGGCTAACATCAGTGTAGTGTAAAGACAACCGTGGCTCCTTCAAGAAGAAACCACTGACTGAACTGTTGCAGCAAGTATTAAAACTGTTAACAGGAGTAAAGTATTTAAAAAAGCACTCTCCTCACACATTATCATTATCATATGCTACCAAGTGTTAAAAGAAGAGCCCAATTAAAACTGCTGTGCACTGTTAGCTGATTTGAGTGTTGTTATGCCATTCAGTGGCCATTATCACTCGTTATCATGGCCATACTGCAAATAAAGCCCAGTCTGTAAAAAATGTTTTCACTTGACAAACAACTAGATGTTTTTCACAGGAGAAATTCAGACTTGTCAAAGGCAGGTGTAACCTGTTAGTTTCTGCACTGCACTGCAGTAACTGCTAATTAGTTCCACCTGTGCTTTTCTGATATAACAAGTACGTAAGACAAGAAAACGTCCGTTGGATTCTTATACAGATAGAGCGGAGTATCTGATTCAAGTTATTGTCAGAGTGGCCTTATTTAATTGACATCGTCCACAGCCAAATCTGTTGCATCCATGTAGAATAACATCCCCCCCGTTAATAAGGGTCCTCACAAAGTCAAACACATCTGTGTGTGAGAGAGAGAATAGTGAGAACAGATGAACGAACCACACACACTTTTTATACTCTCACCTCAAACTGCACACTGCATTTACACTGCACAGCAGTTACATTACAGATATAAAGAGACTACTGGATGACGATTTATCAACTGTAACACCTGAAAACGAGATCTCCTGTTGACACGTCATCATATTTCAGCTAGTACCAGCAAGCACATCCATGTTATTGCTCATTCACCTCATGTACTGTATGTCAGACAAGCTGTACTGACTGGGGACTCCCATAGCGGGACTGGACTAGGAGCTGGGTTCACACTTGTAATTATAAAAAATATTCTGCTGTACATGATGTCATAGGCATAGTTTGTTATATTGTCACAGCATTAGACACCAGGCGTTCTGCTGCAGAGGCTCTAGGACAGCTTCTTCCGTCACTAAGCAGTAATGACTCATCACTAGACCTCTAGATGTTCCCATCTACACACCCTCTGCTCTTTCTCACTCTATTACCATTAGCTCATCGTATTTCACCCCATACCCCTCCTTAACCCTCTCCCTCTTTATCCCTTGAAGACAATTATTTCACCAAGAGCTCAGTTTAAAGTCTTTGCTCCTGCTGTACTTATTTACACTTGCACAAAGTGTTTCACACCTAACGAGGTAGAATGGCACACTGACAGACAAATCAGCCAGATTAGAGACCAAGAGACAGAAGTAAAGGACAGAGGAGGAGAAAAAATGAGGTGGAAGGAAGAGTGAGATGAATGAAGAAGTCTAATCTTTCAGTGTACAGGAAAAAGAGGGCTTAACAGGGGCTCAGCACGACTTTGCACACTTACCGCCTTACTGATCATATCAATACACTTCAAAAATGGCATTTCAGCACCACCTTTTTAAAAAAATCCAAAGAGCAAAGATATAATGAGCATTTTTTACAGAAGTATAACGTAGGAAAAGTATGAACTTTGGAAAAAATGTCAGACATTGTCCACTCAGAGCTTTTCCAGTGTCAGAGCTTTTTTTCTTTGGTAATATCTTTGTAAATTAAATTTTTATGGAGTTTTGACTGTTGGTCAGTCAAAAAAGCCAGTAAAGACATCAGCATGGACTTTAGCAAAGTGTGATGGACATTTTTGTTTTCTTATAGACCAAACCATCCGTAAATTTATGCTCTACTGACAATAAAAATAATTGGTAGTTGCAGCTATTGAGGACCATTGTTACTTTGAGGAGCATGATGCAATAAAGTTCCTGTGGTTGTGACGTAATATTCTATCAAACGCCCACGCCGGGATGCAGCCAGTGTCCTGCAGCATTCCTAATAAGCGTCATTATTCTGCAGGTGAGGTGTAAGTCACTGAATAATGGACTCACGTCACTCTGACACTAAGACACATAGACAGACACACAAGAGGAACAGACACCTGTGGATTCTTGATCTTTTCAGTGCTGCTGCCTGAACTGCTGCTAGAACGATATAATGATGGGTTATATCCAAAACTATAAGAAATGACCATAACAAACATGAAAGCATCTGAAAAGACTTACGGTAAACCTATTATACATTTATATTGCTCATGGAACACAAACCTAAGCTTTAGAGGAATACTGTGTTGATGCTATAGATGATAATGTAAAATAAAAAGCAAGTAAACATATTGAAGCTACTCTAAAATCACTATAGCACAGACACGAACTCCCTGTAGTAATTTTATGGTAATAAAAACATTAGGCACCTGAGAATTTACAATGATACTGCAGGAGATACAAAATATATAAAAAGGTGACATCAAACAAATACTACTGCAGTATTTGTTGGTTAGATAACCTGGTTTGTTGCCGTCTCCGCTCCATTCAGTGCGCTCCAGTGAACCGTATTGATGAGAAGATCCTTGCTTCTTCTCCATCAGTCCAGCAGCTGCTCTGCTTTTCTCTCTACGCTTCCAGCTGCAGGCGTTTGGAAACCAAAAGGAAAACTACAGGGGAGGGTCTTGCAGTCTCAGTTTGATGCTGTATTTCATCGAGTCATTGCCAGTCAGTCACCAATCTGCAGAGGCTGAGAGCGTGAGATGTTCCAGCCGTCCCCCCAACCCCCAGCTCTGGCAGGTGTTGGAAGGCTCCCTGTGTAAACCAGTACCCGAGCTGGTTAGACAGTATGTCAATAGTGGCATCTGGTGGCTGATGGACTAATTTACACCACTTAATACTGCGTTGAAACCACTTCCTCCTCAGTCAGCTCAGAAGTAGTTAATTAAAGCAGCTTTTGCCACATTTATTATAAAACATAAATACTGTTTTACAAATCAAAATCATTTATTTACACATTAACATTGTGATTTATAATTACATCCACTTTATATATGACAGAAGATAAAAAAATAATGTGCAAAATTTATCATGATTTTCCAGCTCATGATTTTACCCTGCCAAGCAAGCAGACACTCACATTTACATGATTTTATGCTATGCACCCAAACACACATCACTTCTAGTTCCTGAGACCGCTGACCTTTACTGTGAGAGAATATACGTGGTCTCAGGGGAGGCATCCCAATTAGGCTCCTGAGCTATATTTGGGTGTGTAATGTCAACATTCTGTGACTGTATAACATAGATTAAAAAAAAAAATCATTTGAGTAACAACTGAACCAACAGTTGTGTCAGATCTCGAATGGCCCTCTATAATTTAGAGGACATCATGTGATGACTGTATGCCATAAGAATGTTGTAATAATACATGTCGTTTTGAGTCACACTAGGTGCTTTACACACAGCTGCTGCACTGGTGCTCTTCTTCCATAAGGAAACTGTGAACAACCCAGTTTTAGTGCAAATAGATCAGGTTTAGCACATTTAATGTGATGCACCACAGTGAGTGGATGGGTGTTTGGGTGGCTTTCATACACTGATGCATTTGAGATGTTTACTGGTAATTCCACTTCGCAGCATTCCCAAGTTCAGCTCTTTGTCTAGTATTATCAAGCATTTGAGTCTTGCACATGTTAGTAGACAGTGGCCCTGAAGATACTGTAGCGTCATTAGTTCAACAACTACTTTCCCTGGCTCGGTTATCCTGGTCTGATGCAGTATAATGCTGAGCCCAGACTACATGATCATTTTGTCTGATAAGATGATCAATGTGTCAAATTACACAATTATACAGTCATAGATTCTTGTTATGAGATATGCCAGACTAGACACGGGTACCCAACACATCACTGCTTGTCATCTTTCATGACCTCCCTGAAAGAGGGAACAAGAATGTCAACACTGGTTGGTGACTGAAGTGGTGTGTATGATACTGGCTGGTAAAAAAACAACTGTGGACCCATCTGTGGGTTTCACAAAGAGCAGCGTAGGTGGTCTGTCATGGAGAACTTGATGTAAAGGTAACAGTGTTCTAAACCAGTAGTAAAACTAAAAACTAACTAGCTAACCCTTACAGGGCACTTCATAAAGCTGACTGTGAAGCCAATATGCTAACTTTAGCTGTATCACTGTGATATTGTTGCCTCAAGGAGCTAATGAATATGATTCAGTCCTGCATCCCAAGGGTTTCTAATAATGTTTCTTTGCAACATCTGTGCTTTATTGGTTAGCATTGCCCTAACACCAGCAGAAGTAGAAATAGATCTAGCATGCTAGTGGACTGACTGTAAATAAAAATAGAAATGTGACAGCTCCCAAAACTGAAGCCACCATGAGTCAACCACCCCCTGGTAGCTGGTTGCAGCATAAATCATAAATCCCACTGCATCCATGTTAGCGAATGGGACATGAGCGAAAAACTAAAAATATCAAACAAAATATTTTTTCCCAGGATTGATTTCTGTCATGTTGAGTAGATATTATTACAGACTTTGTAATAATACTTAGACCATGAGTCTATTATTTAAATCTGAATTTGGTGCTGCTAATTTTTCCGAGAGGCTGCTTGCAGCACTGTGTTAAAAGTTCCCGAGGCCCAAAAAGCATTTTCTCCATGGACCACAAGGATAAAAGAGACATCTGTAAAACTACTGACAGGATGCCTTGGAACAAACCAGGTCAGTTATCACTCCTTGGTGTTATGAATTTTTAATCCATGGAGGTTTTTGTATTCGTCAAACCTTCCCAGAGCCTAGAGAGCTGAGTTTTATTTTCATGACTTCATCCCACTATAAAGTCTACAGACTGAGCAGGTTGCGACACTCTAAGACTGTTGGGTCGGGCTGTTCTTATCACGCTTAAATCATGTAGTCTGGACCTGGCGTAACAGAAAAAGTTGCTTTTGTTCAGTAGCAATTCCTGACATTGCACATGGTTTTAGCTTCTGCACCAAACATAGTGTGGTTCTAGAAAATTTCTACAAGTCCCCAAACACCAAACCCAACCTGTCTATCATTTGCAACTTCATAAAAGCTTACATCACTTTAGGTGACAGGTATGGGAATGTGCATTTCTTTCAATGATGTGGCCAAAAGTGGACTGTCAGCTGTCATCGTACCAGTCTTTCAACAGTCTCTTCAATAGCTGGCAGGCCAGGGAGGCATTGTATACTGTATGTGTGTTTATTTCAAGAAGGCAGTAAAAGGTAGTGTGTTTATAAGAGTAACTGTTATATAAGGCATGATATACTGTAAGTACATATCTCTACTTACCTATTTTTCTTTCCTGGTCTCTACAGTGTCAGAGGCAATACTGTTCCTAGGCACTGTTTGAATCTGCATATATTGACTGACTGTCTTAAATTATGCACAGCAGTCTACTCATGAAGAGTGAAACACTGTTAAAAGTTCAGTCATACCCTGCAGTGTAACACAATCTGTTCATGTTGCTGTAAATGCAACCGACTGTCATTCCCTCAACTGCAAGAACTGACACCAGTACAGTATATGCTGCATCTGGCCTGCAGTTGCTTTGGCTTAACAGCCTTTTAGCCGTATGCGCCACTCAATCCTCACTGACAGAACAAAAATTGCTTGGTTTCAGGAGCAGCCGAGTATGATCTGGAGGCGATATTGTTGACATGTGTCAGACTGAACTTCTGTTATCACAGAAACAACACGCATTGCCACTATCAAAACACAGTGTGTATGGTCTTAATTGTCAAGTTTCTCTGTGGTGTTACTCCACCATGTCAGTTGGTGATTCCAGCAAATGTATTTATTGGTAGAGGAAGACATTTGCTCATGTATTTGCTCAGTCCAACGTTTTTGTCCTTTCCCAGTCTGAATTTGGATTGTATGGTTTTCTGGACACAGTAGCCAGGATCGAGGCACGGGGAGATCTCGATGCTACAACAGAAACGTGTTCAAAATAGAGACATTAGTTTGGGTAACACAGAAACGTAGGTCCAGATTCACAGAGACTGTGTTGAAATAACCAGCTTTCAGATTTGAATTGTCTTACAAGCTACTTGCCATACATTTGCAGACTTCTGTCTTTCCCTTCTCATTATAAAAAAAAAAAAAAACACACTTTAAAACCTACCAAGACCTAGATATATTGGAGCTCAAAGATCTATTAGTGCTTAGTCATGAAGGCCATCAATGATCATTTTTGAAACACCTAACCTTTACTGGGTGGTGTAAATGTAAATAGTCATCGACTCTCTTACCTCTGCACATCACTGTAGGTCCTGCGACGATCTCTGTCCAGTGTAACGGTGAAAGATCGAGACTCCAAAGTGCGAATCTTTATGTTGCTAGTACGAATCTTTGGCTCCTGTCAATTTAAAAATTAAAAAAAAAATGATAAAAGGATTTATTATTATATAAACCATTTAAATTTTATTAAGTGTTCTGATGCTGTGTAGACACTAAAAGCGTTTAAACCATGTGTTTCCATGACCGATACGCTACCACCAAAATAGAGAAATACAATAAACACAGGTAATACAGAAGATCTGTCATTTGTTACATCAATTCTACTGAACATACAATTCTTTTTAAAGTGTTCTATGTATTTTTATTTTATTTGTTTTCTTGTTTCACCATGGTTTTCACAATCCGATTCTGCACAAGACAGAAAAGTGTTGTTTTCAGTCATTTGAAATTCTCTTCGACCAACTTAACACCCCCCTGACAGTTTTTCCATTTTCCAAGGTGTGCCTGTAGGCTCCTCTTTGTGCTCTTTAAACAAAGTGCTTCCAATGTGTAAACACATGCACACACACGCTACGATATAAGTGAAGACATGGTGTACCATAAACAGTCTTGCAGGGATAAATCACTAAAGATACGAGCACTCAACTACATATTTGAGAAGTATTGCTGCTGAGACTTACCACAGTGTTGTTTTTAGTTTTGGTGGGAAATTCATTCAACGTCAATGTCAAACAGTTCAGATCTATGTGAGAAAGGCAGAGCAAGTGTAAGAGTGTATAAAAAAATGTCACAGAAAAGTGTGTCTTTTGACAGTAACTGTGAAATACTCATTGTGTTAGAGATTATACTGAACCTTCTGCTTCAGTGGAGGGAATAGCACTGATCTGAGCGCCTGATGTCCTCAGCGAGATCCCTTTGTCAGTGTCTCGGCCACTTAATGTCACCTGGACACAGAAACGCACAAAGCGTGCTAGTGTTAGGTTACAGAATGGAATTGAATAGAATGCCTTTATGGTCATTGCACAAAGTTGTACCATGACATTAGTGATGCAGCTCCAGTTTTACACATTCACTCAGGCACATACATGCACCATCCATACAGGCAGCAACAAGTAAATAATTTAAAAACCACTAAATAAATAAATAAGACCACTGACTAAGTAATGCACAATGCCCCAGTCTTGTTATGTTGAGCTCTCTTTACAAGAGCAGTGGAGTTGGTGGTCCATTTGAGGTGTGCACAGATATGGGTTCCCCAAAAACGTAAAGCTGGGCACCCTTTGCACCTCTTCTCCATGAGAGAAGTCAGGAGAGAGTGCTTTCCTCTATACTGTTTAATACCAAGACTGCATTTCTACACATTCCTCAAATACAATCATTATGTGCACAGAGGCATCCTCACATTTCATTACATTTGCCTTCACCAGTATCCCCATAACAGTAATCTGATAATGAAATAATGGGAATTAAAAAAAAAAAAGAAAGGGAGCTTACCGTTTTGTAATTAATGGTGACAACAGCTCCACACACCTCCCCTGAACTCCTCCTGGGTTTATCTTTATAGGAGACAGGCATTTTGTTAATTTTATTGTTCACAGATACAGGCTGTGCACAAAAACACAACAAAGGAAACACTGGAAAAATAATTAATACATATAGCGAGTTCACCTTTCATTGATGCTGAGATCTGTCTGAACTCAGGAAACTCCATGTCTAGATAGGTGAGGAACACATCTTCCACAGGATCCTTTGTCAAGCTGGTGAATGTAATCTAAAGGAGAACAAGGAAAAATGTGAATGACATGATAGAGACCGGGGATCAGACTGAGCTTTCATAGCCAGGAAATGAATCTACAATTAAAATGTATCATAATACCTTAACAAAGTAGATGGTGAAGTAAACAGGCTGCTGGCCGGTACGTACGTAGTAGGAAATGACATCAGAGATGAAGGGATCTTTTGGCTTCCCTGGGTTCACCTGTTGCTAAAGAAGACGGAAGCAATGTAAAACTAACCTGCCTAAACGATGTTGCCACCACAAACTCATTTTGGTCATGCTTGGGTTATATTAAATGAATGTAATGAATCACTAAAAAGGTCAAGGTCTTCTCAGGTAACACAGCAGTGCATGGTTATTCACCTGTTTAATAAACAGCCCAGAGTTTTTACAGAGGTCACTGTGCTGTGAGGTCTAAGTGACTTGAAGTTTAAAGTTATGTGTTTCAATTTGAACTTTACTTCCATTATGTAGTATATGAATTACACCCCCACAAAGAAAGAATATTATGAGGAAAAGATGAAGAAATGAAGGACTCAGCCGGAGAGCACTCAGCTTTTTCTATAACAAAACAGTCCTTTCCATGAAAACTGAAGGAATCAAATGTAGCCTACTGTTCACTGCTTTGAGAAAAATCATTTACATAGCAACTTCATTTACAGTTCTCTCTTTTGAAAACAGTATTTATTCCAGTTTCATGATAATTCTAGCTCCTGTTTAAGCTTACAGCATCAGGACAATGTCAAGATGTGTTGGAGTTCAGCTCGCTGTAGTTGTGGTTTCAGTGAAATCAACATGTCTATTGTCCTTGCAGTAAAAAAATGCTATGCAGCTTCCTGTGTTATTCGTAGGACAGTTTCCACATTAAGAAAATGATATGTACAGTCGTAATGTAATGACACTTTTGAAGCACGTCTGTTAAACTACAGATAATCAAGTGTATACGGTCTGTAGGAAACTAAAGGAGACACTTACTAAGGTTCTTCGGCTCATTTTTTGGCACTAAACAGTGAAATTGCATGTGTTCATATTTACTAAGGAGTTGCAGTGAAGTTCTGCGCCAAAGAAAAAGAAGAAAAGCAGTAATGTGCACGTCCGGTCCCATGCAATACTGTATGTAATGTATATCGTTCCTATTCAGGGATGTAAGTTTATACATATGCTCTCAACGCCTGATTTATCATGGCTGAGGCAGAGTGAGCTGTGGCTGAAATACTGTATGACCTCAGAGGAAAGCAGGTCTAAAAAACCAGCATGGCAGGTGTTATTCATCTGACGCCTCGTCAGAGTTAAGATCATGTTCGAGGAGGAAGAGGATGTTTGTAAATCCAATCACATGCCAGACGAATGTGAGGGACTTTTACAGGCTTTCAGGTCAAACTATGCTTCAATTACTCAGCAAAATAAAAGATGATCTGACTGGTAGAAACTGCATGAGTGCAGTTCTGAAATATGTTTGTTGATTTCTTCAAGTGTATTAAAGTTCAGTTTCAGTAAACTTTCACTTTCTTCTATATTTCCTATCAGTCCACCCGCCTGTGGGCACCAGGTCCTACTGTAAGTGGAGGTGTATTCAAATTACAGTAACACAGCTGTGGCTGTGCTCATTTTCATTACTGGCATTGGTAAATACACTTCTAAATTGAAAATTGTGGCACCGTAATATTTTGCGCACCTGACAGTGATTCGTGTCAGATTTAGTAAATATCACCCTAAGTCTTAATTATCCTTCTCTTTCACACACACAAAGACAAAGAGTCTATTTAACGTGGGCTTGCTGTGTAAAAAGGCTTTTCCTTTAAGATTTGCTTCTTACCATTTTGGCCAATTTAGGGATCATGCAGCCCAAACCCTTGATGTTACAGCTGTACCATGGATCCACCGAGCTCAAGTAGGAACCAAGAGTGCAGGGATCGCCCTCGGACTGCTTACTGGGATGGTTTTCCTACAAAAAAGGAACATGAAAGTGTAACCAAAAATGCTGTGAGTGATGAGAATACAACACAAGGCTGAAGGTTCTTTTTCCAGGTACAACATGTTTTTAGTTCTACCACCAAAAGACAACTATTGTGCCTTGTGTTTTGTACAGGTATATAGTTTATATACGTATGTACCGTATGTACCTCACATATTCTTATCACATTAATAATATAACTGTTCTGAGGGTGTCATCTTGTAATTCAAGGGCATAGTTTTGCATATTTTTGGAGGACAGAAATGTTCCTACCAATATTTGAGCAAAGCAGTGCGCATTACCTTTAGAGACACGTCATATTAGATCATTCCATTGTGCTTGACCTACTGAGCTAAAGCTCATGTTACAAGTAAATGTCATATTTGCTCCTGGACACAGAGGAAGTGATAGCTGTCGGTCGGTGTGTTGACAAAGATATGTCATAGTGGCTGACTTGGATAAAGTTGGAAAGATATTCACACATTTGAAGTTTCTAGATCAATTCTTCTTTTGTTTTGTAGTAATGTAAACACCAAGCTACAAGCTCATTTGTTTTTATCAAAATGAGCCATCCTCTGCTCCAGACAAATCATTACATTATCTCAAGGTCATGTTGACTTTTACATAGTAACAGGCTGATTGTGTGTTGATAAGAGGAAGCTAGCATACCTTGACAGGTGAGATGGGAGTTAAAGCCCGACAGACAGGGATGTAGTAAAACTTTATGTTGACTTTCATTGTAAGAAAAAGCCTCCGTGCTTCCCTTTTCCTGTACAGGCAAACCAAAGATTCATGAGTAGACTGCGGCAGTTTGACTACAAACATATGACATTTGCAACAGAAGAAGTACTGTAAAACAGGCAATTAACTATATCTATAAAAAAGAGTTGATGCTTGCACCCGTGAGAACCTGAGAGAACTGGAGCACAGAAGAATCAGATTCAATTACTGTTGTCAATTCAAACTTATTTCAGAAAAAAATTGTGGTTTGTGGAAGGGTACCAACACATTCAGCCACATCTGTACTCCTTCAGAGTAGATAAAGTAATCATATTGTATTGTACATTGTTCGGGGCGACAGTGGTGTGGTGGGTAGAACAGTTGTCTTTTAACCAGAAGGTTAAAGGTTTGAATCTCGGTGCCTGCAGTCGAAGTGTCTTTGGGCAAGACATTGAACTCCCAAGCTGCCCCTGATGGCGGCACCTATGTACGCAGCAGCCCGGTGTCCTCGGCTCCAAACAAAATTTCGTTGTACGTGTCACAATGTTACAATAAAATAAAGCTTCTTATGTTCTCATTCTTACATAAAAGTGCCCCAAGATAGTCTACTAAATAGAGGGACCTATGGGAGACCAAAGGGTTAAAGGATTAGAGTAATGTTATTCTCATGCCTGTAGCCTTTAGATTTGTTTCATTCCAGTTATCATATTTGCTATATTTTACTTACTTTTCTTCATTTTTACACTTGTTATATATTATTTCATTTGATTTTAATGTTTATGTTATCTTACTTCAATTTATTCATCAGTACTTGTTATACTTGCTCAGTGGTGTTGTGCATACGGATGACTGAGGGTGACTGTGTGTGTAAGGTTGACCATGAGATGACCCTGGCTGGCATCCTGGAGTAAAATGAGAGGGTTTATTAGTATGTTATTTGGACGGCTGCCCAGATTTGTGGCACGAGGACACCTGTCGCACCTCAGAGAGGGAGAGATAGAAAAGAGCCTTTAATGCTGATGTTCAGAGTTTTTAAGATGTCATCTAAGTGTCACTAATCAGAGACATGTGTCAAGAAGATATGGTTTGCTTATTATTACTGTAAATCATCATGTGACCTGCGGCTGTTATGTCACTCGCATGTTTATTAAATGTATTTATTTTATTTTTATAGCGTCTGAAGGGCTGACTAAGGCTGACCTCTCTAGGTTCAAATATAATGGTGTCTATTGCACTGGAGGTCAAAGAGAGAAAGGTGGGGTAGAGCAAGTTTAGACCAGGAGGTGCTGTAGAGAGTATAAAAGATGTTGCAGGAGCTCTGTAAACCTTTCTGTTTCACGACCAGAAAAAGAGATATTACCATTTGTGACCTTTTGCAATAAATTCTAATCCTAAATAAATCCTAAATTTTCCTCACATTTCTGTGGCTGGTCTTTCAGTTTGTGTGCAGCACAAACCACAAGTGACTGTGTGCTGGGCTCCTTCTGCAATAGGCCAAAAAAAGAATCAGAGTTGGGCCAGGCGAGGTTGGAAACCTGTGTAAACATAGCTACACACTGCTGGGATTTATAAGGGATGAGGACAGACACAGAGGTTGCTCTTTTTCTGCTTGTTTGCTATGTGCCACTGAAAATCGTTATGGTCAGTAAGATGTTGTTTAATTAGGCGGGCTAATCTTTGTGGTAACGTTAGCAAATTAGACATTACCCATGTCACATTAGCCTGTTTGCAAAATCAACTTTTCCTGGGACATTCAGCTAAAATGCTAGTTTGCAACTGTGTGTAGTTGTTCTGACTTAAGCTAGAGGAGCAGGAGATTGTTGTGAGAGAATGACAGTGGAGTTTGTAGCTGGTTAGCTCTAGTTACTAATAAGCATAGAAAGCATATGTCTCCTTTGGCATCAGCTCATTAGTATCGTTGCTGTTGTAATGGGTGTTCATGAAACGCGAGTGGTTAGATTTTAGACTTAGACTTGTGGATTTGTGTACAAGGTGATCAAAATGTAAACATTCTTTTGCTAGAATCTCTCAATATATTTTTAAAATCATTTCTGTAAAACTATGACTACCTCTTCTACAGTGCCACCAGTGTCAAACCCTCTAGCTGCTGTCAAAGCATCTTCATCATCCAGCGTTCACATCTTGAGGAATGATGAAGCCCTCACCTAAAGAAGTAGTAGGCCTGGGCCAGGCGGCCCAGTACCCTGTCATCCCCCATGGCGACTATCCTGGCAGTAAAGTGTCTCTGCTGCTTGGTGAAGAGGTTCTGCATCATACTGCTTCCTGTCTGCCTCAGCAGAGATGACCCTCTTCTTCCCCCGCTCCCTCCACTTCCTCTCCCTCCAAGGTTTGCGTGGTCCTCCAGGGCATCCTGAATCAGCACCATACTGTCTTTCACAGATGGTTTCATCTTGATGCATCCACGCCTTGAAAGCCTTCCTGAGTCTTGATCACTGGGAAAATGAGAGGATCTACTGTCATACTCCAGAGGAAGAGTGGGCAATGTGCACCCTGCGGCTCCATAACAAACCCAAGTTCTAATCATTTTAAAATGAAGCAAGTAAGCCTTGGAAACCAAAACAGGTGATGCTCCAGATGAGGTTTTTAAGTTCAGCAAATGGCTCTTAAATATTTGTGAAAAGAGTTTCCATGAATTATAATCAAGTGCCCTGGCTCCAAAAATCTAAACGTTTAAAATATACATGTTTTTCTACAAATTAAATAAACTAGCAACACTAGCAATGGGTGTTTAATATATGCAAAACAGGTTTTAGATGTACCTTTTGCTTTGTTCCCATGGTGAACTCAGAAATAATGATGGGGAGGGATCAGTGCTGGGGGGCAGGTCTCTCTCAATGCCACTGTCGTTGGACATCACGGAGAAACGAGCCAAGTCAGATGGCATTAGGTCGCTGGGTGAATCACCCAGGTCTAAGTCCTCTTGCTCCTGGTTAATGGAGAACTGCTCTGACGTGGAGCTGGATCGAAGGCATCTGGCCAGCTCTCGCCCTGTCAACATTTTTAACATTCCTCACTTGCACGAAAATCAGCAGCTGATACTTGCACAGAGCAAGACAACACAACAACAAAGCACAGAGCAACACTTAACTGTCTCAGCTGCTGTGTACTTAGAACCACAAACACACGCACACCTCCCACGCAGACTCTCACTTCGTCAAACACAGATGGGTTTTCTGCTACAGTATGGGTAACATATCCTTTTCATTCACACAAAGCTATCACAGTTTTTACTGATTGTAAAATTATGATAATTTATATTCTTACTGGATAACATCCTGTAGTGAGACTTTCAGTCTCACAGTTCTATGAATTCACATCAGATCTCTTCAGGTTAATTCAGTTTATTACATGACATGAGTCCAGCTCTGAGTTCAGCTGAGAGGACCAATCTAACCTCAGATATTCTCACATGGTGACAAAGTGATAAGTGTATACTTTTTAATGATGTTCTCACTTTCAAACTACCTCATACTTCTACTTATTGTAAGTCATTTCCAACATACACTGACTGGCCACTTTATTAGGTACACCTGTACAATTGTATGCAATTCAATGCAACACTTCCGCCTTAACATCTGTTTTTGAAGCTCAAAATGTTTCAGTTTTTAGTGAAATTGCCATAAATGTATAAATTCAATTATATGTTTATTATTGAGGTCCTAGTTAAAGGTGGCATTGTACTGGGCTACAATATATTCAGAGGTGTTCTTAACGTTCCAGGTTTCTTCAGTTTAATCAGATCTGTTTTGATTAAATAACTCCAATTTCAGCCTAATTCAGTTCAGATTATTTGTAATATCAGCTTCCTCTAGAACCCCCATGGAGTCCCGAGGCACTTACAGATATCCAGATCCTCTGTCCACAGGTGGAAGCTCATCTCTGGGTTAGGAAGAGCACAGTCACACAGTGGTGCCCTGGACAATGGCTCTGCAATACACACACATACACAGAGGAAGAGAGAGAGGAAGAGACCATAACTGTCACATATAAAACAAAAGCAACCCCCGCTCCCACAGCTTCCTCCATGTGAACACTCCTGTCCATCCATTGGTCACCCAGCTACAAAAAAGGGACAGCAGGTTCAGCGGCTGGGTTGCCGACATGATAACAGCTGGAGAAAATAGTGGATGTCATGAAAATAGATATCCGGAAAATTTTATAAATACACACAGCTGATTTGACTGAACTGGCCATGGAGGAAACTGGTAGATAGAAGCAAGGTCACGTTTCATCACAGAACAGCTGGTGTGGACACAGAAAACATGTCCATCACAAATAACATGCTCTTGACTCTGATCTGCACAGCACTGGCTGACAGTGTAGTGGCAGCTCAGTGACACTGAGGCTATGATTTCAAGAAGAGATACAGTTGTCAAATTTGTGACATACAAGCTGAAATTTGCTACATAACATAATTTCATCTCCCATTCGTTAAGACGTAATCAAAACAACTGAGCAAGTGAGAGGCCTGTAGGCCTCAAAAAGGTTTCTGAACAGTAACATCTTCATGTAGCCTCCTGCTGTTTCTCTTTCTGTTTTACCACAGTCTGTTATGTACACAGCAAGATGTAATTGTGGTTCTTGTGGTGTCACCCATTCGCTCCTGTTTAACTAAACCAGCAAGTTGATTTATGCCTCAGATAGAGCAGATCTACCTCAGAGAACTTCTGCTTTGCATATCTCTTTGCTTTTCAGAGAGCCCCTACCTGAACCTGTGTCAGCGACAATCTCACTGTGCAGCTGCTGAAGACGGCTCCTCAGCGCTGCCCCCTCCCCTCTGCCGCCCTCCTCCACGCTCTGCTCTAGAGTTGCCAACACTTCCTGAAAGTACGGCTCGACGTCTTGACCCATGTCCTGTCCCAAAACACACATACACACAGGAAGATAAACACATACAAACTATGAATTAATAGCAAAGAGGTGAAGGGTCAAGGTACTCCACACATGGGCGCAGAGCGAAAACCTAAAAACTTACCGCCATCGTGACATTATCAAATTCTACTAATGTCACTCTAATACTCATGTGTCTTTCTGGTAAGTATTTAAAATCACTTAAAATCTTCCAACATGCAGTACATGCAGTGACCATCTAAAAATCTACGATATTGCAAATTTGCAAAAATTTGATGATTTTGCTTTAAATAGCTAGGTGCCTCTCTGCCGTCATACTTTGTTTAATGTAACACTGTGTTACTTTCTTACTGTAGACCTGCAGTGTCACACATACTATAAATTTCAGGAAACTCAATTTCAACATTCACAAAGCACTGATCATCTAATACAATCCACAGATCATTGCCAATCTGATAGCATGTCAAGCTAGTCAGCTGTTTTTCCCTTGACTAGGCTCTGTGCATTCACAGAGGCCAAATGCTGGTTAATCTGAAGGGGGGATGATATCAGAACAAAGTGCCTCTGTTTGATTAATCGAGCAGCTGGAAGCCAGACCAGTCAAACTGGAAAAGCATGTCGAAAATGTTTACTTGGCAAATTCTTGTGAGGTTTCTAGAGATTAAAATAGGCCAGACAATGATCAAGAGAACAAAACATGACTCAGTAAGCAAACACACAAAGTGTCTACTGTATAATGGGGCATGCGCTGCCTGTGACCACAAAAGAAAAAGCAATAACTGAGCACAACCAAACAGCATTGTCACAGACCTTCAGGGCCTGAGCCAGTTTCGGCCCGTGGCACTGCTCTGCTCCTAACGCTGCTTGGATGGTGTGTTGGACAACACTGCGCATGTGATCAAGAGGACTTAGAAAGCCACCTGAGGCTAACGTGGACGCCTCAATATCACCCAGCAGAACTTCTTCCAAGGAACCAGAGAAAACCTCTGGGTCAGCCAAAACAAAAACCCTGCAGGAGTTCAGACAACAAACTTGAGTGATGGACATGGAAGGCAGACATGCAGCAGTATGAGAACATATAATTAGCTTTTGTAAAACACAATTTCCCTGAAGCGTTCACTATACTCACACACATGTAATCCATTATTTACTTATGACTGACCTCTCCTGAAAGGGATAGTGCTCATTTTTCAGTCTCTGCTCAGCAGTGATCATCCTCTGGTACATCAGACCTGTGAATCAAACTGGCATTTAATGACAGCACATGCAAATCATCAAGTGATGGTCATACAGATTAACTGGCACATGCACAGTTCCTTTAAAATAAAGTAACCATAGTACTGTCTTTCATATGGTCTCTTCCTTTGAGGGTGAAATCTGCTCAGATGGTCTGACTGAGCTTTCTGGTATAAACTGGTGTAAGCCAGTCAACTTTTCTCTACCCCTTTGCCATCCACTGTTGTTCAAGTTTGTTAGTTTGACAACATTTGTTCTCCTCTCTTCAGTTGTTTATAATTTATTTGAATATAGTGTTTCCTCTCTAAGCTAACTAAAGATACATTTTCTAAATTGCCAAACATGTCAAAAGGAAATAAGTCCATCAACAATGTGAACAGAATGACTAATAGTATATTTCTTTGGCTGACCTGTCTGGGGGATCGGTCTCTGTGGTTAAATGAGGTCATACAATCACAACATCACAAAATGTCTATGAACAAATATCACTGTCATCACTGATCTCCTACTTGTTGATCCCCATCCAAACTGTGCATTCAGCTAGTGGACAAAAGTAACACTAGGCCTCTGTTTACTTTGTTGCTAGAGAAAGGTTGAGAATAGAAATGGACTCATTTTAAACGCCAGTTTGCAATTTGTGTCTGAGAGTGTGTGTCTAATACCTGGGATGGAGCGTTCAATTTTGATCTGTCTCGTGTAGCTGAGTCCTACAGCGCAGTAGGGATGAGGGTAGGTCAGGAGTCTTTTACAAAAGTCATAAACCCGCTTGTACAGCTCATCCGGAATGAAGGCCGCCTGGCATATCAATACACACACAACAATACACACTGAGGTTACACCTAACACTGGTGAGGAAAGATGTTTCTACAATTTGTGAATGATAATAATCACACTGCTGTTGTTCAAATATGTGGAAAGACTATATGCACATGCCTAAGTGACATTATATCAGGCGTCCACTTCCTTGTTAACATTTGTTCCTCCTTTTTGGTAGTATTTGCAGTAACTTTACTAAAAATCTCTTCATTAAATTCCTTAAAAGTAATTTTCTGGCAAACCTGTGCATCAGTGTCTAAAATTCTCTGTCAGTAAACAAACATGTCAGTCCAGTGTATGTGGAGATCTGTCGTAAAAGGCAAAGCAATTCAGTCATAACACTTGATACATGTTAAAAAATAGACTAGAAAACAGAAATATGATATATTCAGTGTGGCTCTGAAAACCTATTAGGCAGGAAATGCTACATGTTTACATTCAAGTGTAAAAAAGTAAGACAAGTCGAGTCTGTGGCAGCTTTTTTTCACAGTGCAAACATGTGGCATGAGTTCTGTACCTGAACAATGGCATACATCAGTGTGTGGAGCAGAGGGATGATGTAGTTGTGAGTTCGCCATCTCTCAGCCTACAGAGAGAACACACAGTATGTCAGGGGTCAGTTGCATCAGAAGACGGACTGAGCGCTTGCTGTTTTTGTTTTGATTTGGTTTTCTAGAAGTAGTAGGCGAGGGTCATTGTCAGTAAATTCAACTGTATTCAACAGATCGTTACAGCTGTCACGTCTCAAACCTACAGGGCTCCAGGTACAACCACAGGTTTAAAATTTGTTTTGGTGTCACCACTCCCTGCAGAGATTAAGTACCTTCTCCAGTTCCTTTATTAGCACCCACACCAGAGCGAGGCTGTTGGCAGGGTTGTTCTGAACCTTCTTATGAAGCGTCCATCTCAGCATGCCTGTACACACAGTAAAGCACACAAGCCATTAACAGATGCACAGTTCCCACGGCGCAACACACACACTTGCTAAATGTGTTGTGCTTTCTCTTGTACACTGCTGATTCGAAGTGATTCTGATGACTAATGACTGAACAGCTCTCATAGAGCTGACATGGCTAAATATTCCACAGGATGATTAACGTTAGCAGGCTGGATTCATGAAATGCCCACTCAGGGTGAAAAGGTTTATGAGCTGGATTATGTTTGGCTACAGAAAAACACAAGTGAGTCCACTTTGTGACGTTTAATCCACACATTCATTTTTGTCAGCATGATATGAAAACTAGTGATGGGGAGTAACTAGTTACATGCAATTAAATTACAAAATAAATGTAATGTAAAGTTAGAGTTACTGAAGTTACATCTTCTGAATCCAAGTAATAATTTCAAGATTAAGTTAGAAAGTAAGTTAGATTTTTAATAGCAATTATTTCCAAACCTTCCCAACACTCATGAAAGCATTTACCCAAACAGATAAATCTACATCGGTGCTAAGAAAAACATCATCATATCTTAATACTTAGTTTCAGTGTTGTGTAGTACCTTTGTTGAAACTGTCTACGGGCTGCTGGCTCTCTGTTTGCCTGAATAGCATAGCCTGCACGCTGCGGTACAGTTCTGCCTCTGAAACCGTGGGGGAGCAGCCGGCTGACAATAAAATTGCAAAGTTGGGATGTTAAATTCTGAATATTAAAAGCCTTTGCTAAAAGTTAAGGACAGTATCAAATCTTCTTTTGAAACAAGACCAGACCAGCCCAGAAAAACTAGGAAGCTCTCTACCTGTCTGACAGACAATAAACATTAATTAAAGCCAAACATGTTACCAAATTAGTGTGAACACAAGTGTGTGTGTGTGTGTGTGTGTGTGTGTGTATACCTGCTGGCTCCATGCTGCACAAACGGCTTGAGTTATCCTAGGGGGGCTTGTTGGTCATGTCTCAAATACATCGCTATCTACGGTAATAAGGAAGAACACACAAACAGAAGGTGTAACTCAACTAAACCACAAAGTAGGTGGACAACCTCTCACTCTGTCTGACCTATGATGCCTGATAAAGGTGGGTAACTGACAACAGATGTTCTCTGACTGCTTCCTGACAGCAGAGGATATACTTATATGGATAAGCTGAATAATGGGTTTCTGTTTTAGCGTGTGAAATGTTGACCCACACAAACACCTACATACACACACAGTTACACAGCACTGATACATGCTGATAATTAACACATAGCAGACAGCGCAGTGGTCTCACATTAACCCTTCGCAGGAGTGTTCAAAAGCACCCCTACACTATAAATATAAACCTCTACTTCCTTCAACTCTCACTCCACCACCATTTATTCCCGGTCCCACACAGGTCTTTGAGTCACCTCTTATACCTCCACAACACAAATTCATAGTGAAACTTTCAAATCAACCTGAACAAAAATACCTCTCATGGCATTTATAGTAGTTTCAAATCCTTAATGATGAAATGAATATATCCAATAAAAAGAAAATGTCAGAGTGTCAAAACTACAACAAACATGAATTTCTAAATCCCATAAGAAACTGCATTTCACGTGTCATTTATACTACACATCCGCAGGCCGCTTCTTGCCGATACACAGAGGTAGACAAAAGCTTTATTTGTTTTAACACACTACTCCTTTTTAGGAAGTACTCTTAAGGTCAAGGTCAAAGTGTTTATTTGTCACAGCTAGGAAACATGTTTCCCTGTACAATGAAATTGTTACTTTGCCGTCCACATGAATTCCATATAATACAAGTGAAATATAAAGTAGAGGAATAAGTAACACAAAATCTAAATAGGCAGTAACACAAATCTAAGGCAATTTAAAGCAGCAAGTGAAAGAAGCACAATAAAAATACAACAGGAACACAATATAATGCAGAGAGAATATATGCTCTCAACCCCACTACTGTCAATAAACCGACCATAAATAATCTTTATACAACTGGTTCTGCAAAAATAAGGAGCTCAGGAAGATAATTTTCAACTCAACATAACAAAACACCAGTGTTACCGCTTTTACAAAGCCATGTCCACAATAGGCTGAAAACAAATGTTGTCGCTTTATAGAACTAGTTAATCAGCTTCCTAGCCACCAATTAAATGAAAACCAAATGTCCAAACTTATACCTGTAAACACTACACAAGGCGACCCTAATATCAAAACCATCATCATTAAATTCCCACTGACAACCTTTACCAGCCAGAGAATAACAGGTGCAAAGCAGAGATAACAGTAGTGTACATAAACTTACCCTGTTCCGTACATGCATAGACCAAACACTCCTGTACAGTACTGTAGGTTTTATACATCCACACACTACGCTCTCTCTACTGAAACTAACGTGTGTGACAGAGAGCGAGCACGAGAGCAAGGAACAAGCAAGTGAGGACGGCAAATATTTCAGTACATTTCTTCCTGTGAGTGGGTTCGAGTGAGACAGCGACTGCGTGCGTGTGTGTATCAGCGGGGCTCAAGAGGCAGGTGGAAAGAAGAAAAGAGAGAGTTTGTACGTGCCAATCGTTAGACTTTAGTCATAAGCTGTTTGAGTCGTGTATATTTGGCTCAAAGCTGAAGATGTTTCTATTTTTGACATCTCCCTCAAGTTTCCTCACTTTACTCAACTTTCATGTCAAGTTCCCTCATGTTTTCCCAGTTCTGGTTCTCCTTCACACACACACACAGGCTTTCACAATGTAGAGCCATGACTTCATGCATTCCCTAGCCCCTTATCCGAAACTTTACCTAATGCTGCCTTTAACCCTAAAATCAACTCTTAAGACTTGTATGTGGCCATACAAGTATACACATACACCTACTGTGTTGGGGGGTCACTTGACTGCACTGATGTGTAAAACAAAAGAATTCATGTGGTGGATTTACTCTGGATTTCTTAAACAAAAGTAGCAGTCTTAAAAATAACAGCACTGCCTCAGCAGCTGAATGCTGCCTGTTTGACCACAAGTTTCCGGTTGCCTCAAGCACAATCACACAGCCACCCCCACCCCCATCCCTCAGTCATCTGTCTTGTGTCTGTAATAAACATGATGTCTCAAAAGACTGTTTCTTTCTCCTTAAATTTTGTTTTCTCTCTTTGATGCACACAAACAAACAGAAACACAAACAGGACTGCAGTGACTATAGTAAACTGGCCAAGCATGTACATACAGTATGTTGTACATGCATGCAAAAAACAATGTGCATGGACAAGCGTTCACATGCACAGATGCATAGACTTGCACTCTGTTTTACCTTGGCAACATAAACTATTAATGCAATGTTGGAGCTGACGCATGCACAAGCACACACCACTTCCCCTCTGTCAGAATGAGTGGGCAGACGACACTCTATATTTAGACAGAGAGACACAGAGGGAACTAGAGGTTAGAAAAGGCTCAAAAATACATGCACTACATCATTTAATACCTTTCCAAATAACTAGGTTGGAAAATCCCAGTCTGCAAAAAGTTTGAGCCTCTTAAGGTAAAAGATCAGCATCACAGCTTACTCTGCCCACCCAAGGGCCTGCAGGGTGGTTAAACAACCACATGCCTTTTCTGTGTTTTTCTTACACAAAGAACTGATACAATTTTAAAGACAATATGTCTCTCTAACAAAAACAACAGGAAGTAGAAAATTAATTTGAGTTTTAATTGTTAAAAAATGTATCAAGCAATCAGATAGGGCCGAATTAAACACAATGATGTGATAGCAATGCAATTTGCAGCGCCAACACAGAGAACTTATAATTGAAGCTGCACACTGAAAAAAAGACAGATAATATAAATGACACATAAATACATCACACGGTTAATAGGAAAATAATACTCGGGACATGAAATAAAATGTAATGACATGGTGGTGCAAATACATTAGCTCATGAGCTAAAACATAAGAAAAAGTAACCATAACACAGTGGACCCTGCTTACTGGACCTACAGTACCACTGAGCATCACTGTGCACCAGCAGACACACTTTCCTTTCTCAGTACAGGTCAAAAGCTACATGTCCATTGAGACAAACTCCCCCTACTGCTGTTGACTTTTCAAGGTTTATATGACTCATTTCCTGGCCCAAGATTCAACCATCATATACATCTATCTACACCTATGTGGGCAGCCACTGTCACGCACAGCAGTGACATAAAAAAGACAGAAGCACTTATGCTGCAGACATCTCAGAAAGCAGGAAGTACCTGACAGTGATGGATCGAATTGCCTTCACAGGGTGAGGTGGTGCGTACGTAGGTGCTGCAGTGGGGGTGGGTTTTAATGTATGCATGATTGGAAATCCCCAAATATGTATAGTATGAAGCCTCTTGATACAGTGGGACTTCATCATATCTCTTAGACCTAGACAAAGTGGAAGAATGAGGAAAGCACCTGTAGAAGTGTTTAATGGGTTGATGGCAAAGGCCGTATTTTTTTTTTCTTTTGTTTAAGAAGAAAACAAGACACTGTAAATGTGGAGTGACTGAAGAAGACACATATGCAGCTGAATGGTGGCTACATTCTCTCCATGGAGGCTCTTGGGGCAAACTAAGATTTTACATCTGAGCTAAAGCACTCAAACAGCCAAGCAGTGTGTGTCTATACGGATAGTGTATGTCATCTTGTTGCATAGCAAGTACAGAGTTTGTCTTTAATTCTAACCTGAAATAAAATAGCCCCCCCCCGTGTGTAAGGAACACACATGCAGAAGCTGCAAAGAAGCCCCTAAGACTGACAACATTTAATTCAATGGGAGTTAAGGAGGATATCAATCAAAGTGATTTCCTACATCAACAAGCTGGACAATATGAGGAAGTCGTCTTGAACTGGTGCCCGGTGTATGTGCAAGTGAGGCTCTGCGTATCCGTGTGTAAATCTGCCTGGCCAGTATGACTACAGATTATTTCCTCCTCGGGGCCTGGAAACATCCACCACAATAATGCCAAAACATCTGCATTACATAAGTGAATATGTCACAGCAAAACTCAAAGAAAATGGAGGCAAGGTGAAGATTGAAGCCTTGGGAGGTAGTGTGCTAAATCCATCAGGTAAGAGGAAGACAGATAGGAAAGAGCAGAGATATAAAGGGGTTTCCTGAGAACGTGTGTGTGTCCTCTGTGGGGCCTATGATGTGAGAACTGGGTCAACTGGTCATATTAGGGGGTCAGTAGAGGATGCGACTTTATGGCTGACTTAGGCTACATGCATAAGTCAGGGAGTTTTGCACAAATACTACGTTAATGCTGCATTCACACACATACTAAAGACAGTACTGACTGTGTACATTGTGTCCAAGATGCATGCAGTTTAGTGCACATGCAACGCCCATTGATTTACACACTACTGAAACTTAGAAACAAAACACCAGTAGCTTATCTGTAGCCACATAAACTTCACAGACACTTTTCAGCTATTTTTCTTCCCTCCTTGACCTTTGCCCTTACAGTGTATCCCATGCATACAATTACTTACTGCAGATTTCCATCAGTAATTTCAAATAATAAGTAGATTCATGTTATGCATGAAATACTTCTAAATCCCCTGTCTTCTTATCAGGGGTAAAAACAGCTCTAAACAAAGGCAGTATTGTTACCATAGGTACAGCTATGGCCTCAGACAAAAGGCCTTTGCCTAGCCAGAAAGCTGTGAGTGCTGAGTATGAATTATTTAAATTTCAGGATTAGCGTTTAAAGTGTTCAGTTGTCTATTGTATTTGTGACTGTGGCGTACAATTCCATGCCAGTCTGTGAAGAAATGCTGGGAAAGAAGCTGTGAATTTCTATTTGTTTCGAGTATCTGGTTTGTTTGTTTTGTCCTAAAACTACAGATTATACCTTATGCTTTTCAGGACATTGCCATGATACAGCTATGGCCTTGCGGTTTGCAAGCATGTCCTTAAAACAAATAAAATAGTTCAAGTTTCTGTGCTTGAGGGACCCCTGTTTGTGAAGTGCATCTCAAATTTCCTAATATGTATGCCACTCGTGTTGCACTAGGCAAAATATAATTCTCCTGTTGTGCCAATAAACACACAGTAAACCACAGGGCCTAGAATGTCCGTTACATTCGAGACATTCCCTAACCAAATGTTGTGGATATTCTGCAAATGACGTGTGTACAAAAACACAGTTTTAGACATGCCGGCTAAAAAAAAAGCATGTAGACAAATGTGAAGACTCCTGTGGGTTGTCAGTCTCACCACAGAGAAGACCTTATTTAGCCACAGTTGGCAAAATAAGGCAATGCAGTAACATAGCAATAAACATGAACAGGAGGTCACTATGTGTAAAGTCCAAATGCAACAAGCACAGGATGTGCCAAGTGCGTCACAAAGAAATAATCAGCACTACAAATAGATCAAACACACACACACAAGGTGTAGCATGATGTAGCCTCAGTCACGATGGAGATGGAGCATCTGGGCTCAGCAGAAACCTTCATATCTTCATACCACTTTGGTTTTTAGGTATCATGCCAAGTGACTAAGTGATAGCTTGAATTAATCAGGTCATGTGACTGAGCTGAGATGGTTAAAACTTCAGCTGCAGACAAATTTACAGCCTTAAACTGCTAAAGGGAAAAAAAACCCCAAAATGCTTTATTGAGTTGTTTCCTTGCAGCAGCAAAAATGACTTAATGAGTCTCATGAGATCTTTCTGTTTGAAGCACAATCAACAGTGTCATGGCCCACCTCTGTTTGTTGCTCTGACACCATAACTACAAGATAACTAACTGCACAGTTATGCCAGAGGTTGACAAATATGGAAAACCAGTTTTTAATAGTAACCATCATCTGTTCATTTTTACCAAACTGCTTCAACTTCATTCTAACCAGAGGCCAAGTACTTCCTTGTAGCACACAAGCACAATGCACTGTGCATTGGCCCCTATGACACTGGCCTCATGTGGATAGATTTTTCCAGCATCAATTTAAGATCTACTGATTAACAATAGAACAAAGATTATTTTAGTTTAAAGACTGGCCCACACACCTACATGGCCAAAACCTTTAAGAAGTGTACATCCAGATGATAAATGAAGTTACTAAAGATAGCCTACGCCAGGGATCAGCATGCCCAGGTACCTGACCTACCCTGCCGCCTGACTTGCATATAACACGACCCATATTCCTGTCCCCACAGGTGGTGTGCCCACAGGGTAGTGGCTCCATGTCACTTCTTCAGGCTGTGCCTGAACGGACCCTATGAGCAAAGGCCCAGCCACCAGATGCTCGCCGGCAGGCTCCCCTTCCAGGTCTGGCCCCAGCAGGGTGCCAGTTTTCCTAATCTGGGCGAGGTAATGCAACTCCAAGTGGCCATTTTCATTAGGGTTTTGAATCGCTCTTAGTCTGGTCCCTCTGCTGGGACCAGTTTGCCTTGGGAGACCCTACCAGGGTCTAATGCCCCAGAAAACACAGCTCCCAGGATCAGTGGGACACATAAACCTCTCCACCACATTAAGGTGACGATTCCAGGTATCTTATTAGGATGCCTCCAGGGTGCCTCCCTTTGGAGGTTTTCTGGGCATGTCCAACTGGTAGGAGACCCCAGGGTAGACCCAGAACACACTGGAGAGATTATATATCTCACCTGGCCTGGGAACGCATGAGAATCCCGTCAGAGGAGCTGGAAAACATAGCTAGGGAGAAGGACATGTGGACTACCTTGCTGAACGTGTTGGCACTGCAACCCAATCTTGGATAAGTAGAAAAAAATGGATGGATGGCTGGATGGATGAAGTTTATTTTTGGTTTTTGACCAACCTTGCCAAACCTGGTTTGGGATGGCATTTAAACACATTACACCGACTGAGCTGACAGTTAATGGTAAACTATTAAAAATGAGTAGGATTTGAATCTTACATCATAATTTGCATTGTCCTAATACTGGGTACAAAGTGGCAGTCTCCACAGCTGAGGGTTATAGAAGTGACTTTAGACATATAGCTACACCAGATGGCTGTTGGCAAAACTACTAAATCAAAAAAGCCAGATTTCTCTCTAACCTACACAGTAGCTAAAAATTTTATTTCTGTGAATGTTGGCTCCAATTAAATCAAGTTAAACCAAATCAAGTTTATTTTCACTGTATATAAAACACAATGAAACAATGGAGCAACTCCCAGAGATGATAAAATGCATCAATTCAAAAAGAATAAAATAAATTACAAAATTCTAATACGACTACACAGATATCACAACATTAAAAGCTAGTTTTCTATATATATTTATTTAGTGGCATTTTATCCTCAGGGGAAAACACTGCTCCTAAATCTACTGGTCCTGCTTCATGCTGCCCTGAATCTTCTGCCTGAGGGCAGGAGATCAAATACAGGCAGGATGCAGTTTGTCTCTTTCTGTTCAACAAAAACAACAGTGGAAAGCACCAAGCTGATCTTCGGTAGCTGGGTGCCAGTAATCTTACCTGCCACTTTAATTACATTGAACTGGAGGTAGTTTCCTCCTGTTCAAGTCAGCTGATGTGGTTGGTGAAACTCCAGCTGGATTTACCACTTAGTTATCCAGCAGCGTAATCCTGATGCACTGGGGTAGAAGGCAATTAAATTACTGACTACACAAAAGACCGCAGAAAGAAAAAGAAAAACGGCATTTTTTTTTTTCCAGAAAAATGCTATAAATACTGTCCCAGCTGTGTAAAAGGATCTAGTAGCAAGTTCATTTTAACAGGTAAATGATGTCCCCTATTGTTACTATAACAAGGCAAACTAAGAGAAAGATAGGACAAACTACAGTGGCTAAATTTCATGTTGTGTAAAGCTTTATGTAAGTAGTGTGTTCACTGTTGTTATCAAATGCTAAGGGTGTTTGGTAATGTCAGGTTAATGATAGGTAGCCTGTTCCTTCTGTTTCTGTTGATGCTGTGATGCACTTTTAACAATGTTTTGTCAGTCGCCTAAACAACTATCCAAAGCATGTTGTTATTGCTGCACTGACACCACAGGAATTGTTTCACTGTGGTCATGACATATTTCTGCATGATCACACTGTCCAGTGATAAGGTTATAATAACAACAGAGATCAGATTTGTGTGGACTGTAGCAAATGTTCTCTTATTGTGGGTAAAGGAATTATAATCACTGATTATTAGGCTAATCATAGTTTTACAGTGTCATTTAAGTCCATCTTATGTCATTTTCTCTAGAACTGTACTCAAGACTAAATGCTTTGAACCAGTATGTCACTGTTTTTCATGTGTGACTGGAAAGCCTCACCCAGTAGTTGACATCACCAGTCTAACTATGATCCAGATTAGACTTTTTAACAGAGCCCTGGACAGTGGCAGCATCTTAACTGGGTCGATCTTTGACATGCTTGAAAGAATAAATCAAATCAAATCAAATCAAATCAAAAATTTATGTAGCTTATAAAAATGATACTGTGTGCTTTATTGACTATATTTCTATATTCTTGGTTGTCACACATAAATTAATATCGGTTTATATAACAGACAAAAATATCCCCTAACACAGACAGACCATGCATCCTCTTAACCACAAAGTGGTACCAGGAAGCTGTGATCTAAAACAAGGAAGTTGGAGGAAATACAGCTGTGCTTTTAAACTCCCAGCAGACACAACAGTACGCCAAGGCTTCAATCAGATCAGGCACTCTTATCAAAACCGTGTTATTAACACAGAAGGGGGGGAAAAAATAAGCCACCGTCAACTTGTGTCTTCTCGTCTCACGGGGCAAGATTTTTTTTATAGCCCGACTTACATGTTAAACAGTCCATTCAAAAAAATCTGAGGGGAAGAAAAAAAGAGAAGCTTATGCAACAGAGCGGCTGACACATCTAGAGCTCCGCAGGAACATCTGGTAAGGTGCTTCAGCCAGGTGCTGTGCAGCAAACCACTGCCACATGTTTTTTCCGCGTGGCTCAGGGGGATGTTAACTGTTAACTACAAAATAACAGCCTGCGGCTCATCAGTGCAAAACGTACACGTCCTTAACGCCATATAACGTTAATAATAAACAGAAACACCCCTAAACACATTACACTAAACTCAAACAGAAAGAGCGGTACGTATATGACTTTAAATATGAAAAACATCCACGGACAGGATTATTAAACGGAATAGCTAAAATGTACATCCACATGCAGTACAGTGGACTGACATAAAGTTCATCACCTGCAATATTAGCTAGCAACAATTTAGTCTTCGAGATGAACTTTTCCGCGGGTATGTAGACAGTATATTATGAAGTACTGATGTAAAACTGTCTTCTCTTGATAAAACATTAAATATTTCTGTCTGTGGGAAAACTTACCAGTATTTAAGTTGTACAAGCTGTCCCATTCGCCAAACTTAAATTACTGTATCTTTCTGTCGTTTACACTCCTACCGTACCGTTTCAGAGTCCCACGCCCACTGCTGCCGCTGACCAATTGCGTATCGCTTAGCATATGCAATGGGAGCCAATCGGTGCAGTGGTTAGATGGTAGACTGCAGACTATAAATAGATGCAAATCAACAAGCCCAATTGGCCTTATTTTGCGTTGGATGGGGGGCCAACTTCACGCAGATCAATTTAACCCTTCACAGATGGAGAAGCACGGGTGTAAATAAAACATCAACGAAGGCTAAATTTAAGTTAAATTTTCAACTTCAAAACTGTATTTCAGTAAAGTATTCAAGTAAATGAGTTCATTTACATTCCATCACTGTATATAGGCGTATAAAGTAAAAGTACATATACATACATGAGTCATACTTGTTGTATTTGTACTTAATAAAACATGCACAAGCAAATGTTCAAACAAAGGCAAAAATCAAGATGACACTGAAATTATACTTTAATGATGATTGCATATCGATTGCATAGAGAACGCTAATAATAAAACCAAAATTGCATTTGCAGTATTTCCATCAGAGAAGACGTTTAGGGAGAGGGCAGTGGTGCCAGGTATGTATCTGAACATAAAAGTACCTAATTTGTTGAATCTTCTGTTCCATAAAATAAATATCAACGGTATACAGTGCCACTACATCAGTCTTAGTCAAATGATCAGGATATATTATCCCTTTAGAGTGTAAGATTTATTAATATTAGGGATATATCTAAATGTGCATTACAATGTAGACCTATTTTAGCACCATAATAGCAAATTAATATTTTCCATTAGTGACCCTGATGAAATTAAAAATTATTAGGGTAAAATATGGTTTATACTGCAATTAAGACACAATAGAGCAATTACAAAATTGGACAAGTGTTACCACTTCTGGCTTGTTACAGTAATCTGTACTTCAACTGAAGTAAAATGAGATGTTAATACCGCCCCCTGCTGGTGATATGGTCAGGTCTATTAAAAGAGTGGCTTTATTGTAACTCCTTAGGAGAAACTTTATAATTAAAAGCCCATTTATAACGGACAAAACATATTGTGCAACATTGAAGTGACAGTATGCCATATAATACTTTACAAACATAATATTTACATATTGTATAAATTCATAGTGTCCATTCTCAGATATAGTCACAATCTGATAATTGCCCCTATAGAACCATTACATGGTATTCTATGTCCATATAGGTTGTTCAGTTTGGATGTCTTCTCACTTGAGACTGTAGATTCCTCCTGTTCGACCAAATTGCATTTAATGTTACTGTGTTTATGGTCACTTCTCTGCCTGAGAGGAACAGAGGAACTGAAACCTGAAGAGTGAAACTTGTCCTTAACAGCAGCAAATGACTGCTTTGCACAGAGACAGCGGGAATCAGCCTCATTATAACCATTGTATCTGTAGCCATTACTTGATTGTTGAATCACATATCTCAGGAATTGTTGAATCACAGGCCAACCAACAACTGTTTTCAAAAATTGCATCCCAGTGCCATTTGTGGACGCCCCCATGTGCACTTGACCACAACTGCTTCAAGACTCCAGGGAGAAATGATAAACATGTACGTCCTTGTGCACTTATCCTCTGCAGTCAGTGTTTGTGTTTTTTAAAGCGCACTGCGCAAACTCTTTCATTTCAACCAAACCAATGGTCAGCAGTCTCAAGGAAGTGCCCCACTGAAAGTGACGATGGGCAGGCAGAGGAGAGAGCAGAAGGTGGGGTGGAGTGGCTGGATTTGGGCTGAGGTCCGGGATTTTCTGAACCTCCAGTCAGTGGAGCTGTCAGGTTTATAGCACACTGATATTTCACACCTTTATGGGACAGGAGGAGACACGTGGGTTATATAAATAACACTTGCACGGGTTTTGAATTAATGACATAAATATGTGCGAAATTTTTCTCCTCATGTATATTTTCTCAGGGGAAACTACAGAGCATGCTGGGAAAATGAGACAATGAAGTGAGAATACAGTAAGACATAGCAAGCTTATTGCGTCTGTTTTTGTAATGATAAAGCACTTTTTTGACATGACAGAGGGAACTGAAGATGATGTTTTAATTTATAATTGTGTTTCCATATGTATAAATTAGGAAAATACCCATTTAGAGGAGTCATTTGTTTTACTGGAAAGATTATGTGACTGGAAGTGTATCACTTCTTTCCAGAGACTGTATATGCCTACATCATTTCTTCTGTGCGTATGTTTATCTTAATTCCACACCTGGTGACGCTCTGTAGTATCTTCTTCTCATCCTGGTCCAGACACACAGCAAAGGTTGTATTTCCAGTACCGCTGACCTGCACCTTGTCCACCTTCACCTCGGTTACATTCAGCTGCTACACAAGTATAGAATAGAGCAAAACTAAATGCAATGCACCTCAATAATACAAAATTAGCAGGACAAAAACAGAAGAATGCTTATTTGGTAGAAATATATGTGTATGATTTTATCTGACATTTGTTGCTTTTGCAGCGTGTCTTGGTTGGTTTCTTTTCTTATTTTTGTCTCCATATTGCAAAGAAAGGCTTGAGTAGTCAGTCATTTAAATATGTCTACATTATGCTGAGGTGTGTAATAACTATTACAAATCAAAGCACCAAATCTGAAAAAGGTTAAGAGATTAAGCTTTGTGGCTTTTTGGTCCATCAAGCTGTCAGTGTAGAAAAACCTTGTTCTCAGTATGCATGAGATGAGCGATTCATCTGAGATGAATCTGACATGTTATCAAAAACCACAACCTGATGATGTCACGTGTACTGCAGCTCACCTGGTTATAGCCCTTCTTGCTTTTGCCATTCTGTCTTTTCAGAACCTCAGTCACTGTGAGCTGCAGACACTCCATCTTTGAGTCTGACAGAGAATCTTTTAGTTAAAACATGGATACACTTACACACAGCAAATGTTTCATCATCACCTAATGCAGGTATGAAGAGGTAAATTTAAGGAATTTTTATTTAAAATTAGTAAGAGCAACAGCACAGAAGCACTACTTTAAACAGTTCTCTGAATTATCTGTGTAATACTGTAATCAGTGGCAGGAACATACAGTACCTAGTTCCTCAGGGTTCTTGCATGCTTTGGTCAAGTTTACTGAAGTACACACTTTTGTTTCCCTTTTCCACTGGCTTCTACCACTAATCACCACCTGAACAAGAGGGGAAGAGAGGATATGATTATTGCTGTTTTGGTAAATAGGTCTGAACCCAGATCATTCTTGCTGTGAGGAGCTCATTGATTATAAAAATGACCAAGAGGCTGACAGCTCCCGGAGGTGAAGCCACCTTGAATTGATTTCCCCTGGTGGCTGATTGCAGTATTGGTCTTAAATCCTTCCTCTTACATGTTAGTGGATGGGACATGAGCCAAGTACAAATCAGATATGTACATTTTTCCCAGCGATCACTTCTGTGGTTTTTGGTTGATATTATCATGTGGGTGTGTGTACAAGTGATACATTTGTTTTTATTAAATTATTTGATGATATAAAAAATTTAGTATTATGGAGGATTTGACTGTTTTGATTGACGGTCTGATGCTGTCACTACTGCACAGAATCCATTTGCAAAAAAGAAAGATGGCAGCCGCTGTATTAATGATGTTGTGGCTTCATTTTTGCATAGTGGAGGGAAGTGGTGACACTTTGTCCGTCATATATATAGTCAGTGGAGGGGACACTTCTATATATTGTAACATTAATAAACAGCACCATCATGTTTACCAGTCTGGCGAGTTTACAATGAATTACATCACAGGGACCAGAGAGTCAAAGGTTCTAGCTTTGTCAGAACAAGGCACAGGCTCATCATTGTTAAGCCAACTTTGTACAGTATTTTGCCACTACACTTGAATGTGTCATTTCCTCTGGGTGGAGAAGAGACCAAAACCAAAAGCATTTGAAAAGGGGGAAATAGGAAAACCCAGCAGAAACCCCAGAAAGGTGATAAGAAGGTGTATTTGTGGATGTACGTACTGTAAGAACCATGTTTAAGACACAAATTTTGATGATGAGTAAAATCAAACACTTTACCTTGTTGTAGACCAACTCCAAAACCAGAGGCACTGCTTCTCGGTCACCATCAATACCAAACCGCTTACTGGCAGCACCTGTTTAAAAGGAGAAAAAGTCACACAAACACAGTTTAGAATAGAGGTACAAAATATTTCTACAACATTTAAATTCACTACCAAGAAATGCAAGACTTTGACACAAGCTTTACAGGTCTTTTTTATTGCAGCTTGTAGTAACAAAAACTAGATCATTTTTGTGAGGAATATTTTAAAAAATGGAATTAAACGGTCACTTCCTTATCAACTGTTGCTAACATGAGGCATTGACAGCTTTCCCTGAAATTTTACTTCTCAAAGGAAGGAAAATCAGAAATGCAAGTGGCAGTGAGTGAAACTAGAAAAGTAGAAGTTGACTGAATCATGGAAATAGCAGATGTCCCTTTAGTATAAATGTAGTCCAGTCTCAACCTCATAATAACTGATGATGCATTTCACTACATGGAAAATATGAAGTATTGTATTTATTATGCCAGGGTTGCTAGGATAAATGTGCGTGTGTGTGTGTCGCTCTCACCCATGGCCTTGATGGCTCGTGTTCCTGCAATGTGACCCAACTCCAGGGAGTGGACAAACACCTCAGTCCTCCTCTCTCCACCAGCTAATGTCAGCTGCAACACCAAAGTTCCTCAGTGAATTGGCAATAGTGTTTTATTAGTTCTTCTTATAAACAGGGCCTTTTTAAAAATGGGTTCATAGCAGAAAGTAGTTCTAGAAAGAAGCAGTATAGCAGGGATGTGTGTGTGTTTTTTTGTGCAGATGTGTGTCTGACCTCTGCCTGGTAGAGCTGGATCAGAGCTGGTCGGGCAGCATAGCGGCAATAGTACAGGACCAGGTCGGCCAGGATAGGTAGACGCTGTTCATATGAACTATCATATGAGTCTGACTCTGTCTTTGAGGTTTGCTGCAAAAGAGTACAATATAGTGTAACACTTACTACAGCAGGATGAGGTATGCAAGTTTAGCCTAAACAAGAACAAATAAAAAAACATCTGGCACTGTTAAAAGGTCTGAATGATAATAACTGTGTAGAATAAGTATTGTTTGAGTAATGTGATAGAGTTTTGGGTCACATTTAGTGTAACAGATTCCTGTTGTACCTGGCAGACGACGCTGGTAGGCAGGTTAAGCAGGCTGAGGGTGTTCTTTTCGTACCAAGGGTCCAACATGCCGAGAAGATGGGCGATGTCATTAGTACTGTCCTCTGTGCCCGTGACTTGAAAATCCTGCTGAGCAAAAGGGACTATTAAAACCAAACTGTGAAATTCTCATGTGTAGTACAGTAGGTGCAGGTTATTTGGCTTTTACACCATAGCTATGTCAAAATCTGACTACCTGTACTCTTTTTAATCAAAACTCGCTCAATGTTTAAATTTTGGTTGGGATACTCTTGTTCTTACATTAGACACAGCCGCTCCTTTGGGGATTACAGCTTGAATCACAGGAGTGGAAGACCTCCGACACCTCTGTAGTCCTGCTGAGTCCCTCTTTACAGGCACAAAGTAGAACTGAAGCTTGAAGGCCCTGCTGAGACGTGGACACACACTCTCCTTCTTCCTCAGGCTATTGTAGGCTCGGGCCACCTTCCCCGCTACATGATCAGCGCCAAACACAACCACCCTCAGCGTCATATTTTTACTGTCCTCATCACTGCTGAGGATAGGCCTCCTTCTGAAGCAGACATGTCTAAGAGTTTGACTGTGTGTCTGTAACAGGGGCTCAGGACTACGTAACTTGACTTGTTGGGGGAGAGAATTGGAGCGCTTCTCTCGTACCAGTAAAAGGTCTTTTGATTCTGTGTTTCCTAAGCTTTTGGCTCGGGACAGTGAACGAGTGCTCCTGGGTTTTATGAAGAGCCGAGAAAATTGCTGGCTAAGCCGAGCTGAAGCTTTGGTAGACTTGGGCAAACATTTTTCAGTAACAGGAGAGGAGCACATATAGTCATCAGAATCTTCAAAGTAGTCACTGTCAATTCCAGAAGTGACAGAAAAGAGGGATGGTGCGTAGGACTCTGAGGCTATAGACAAGGTGGAGAACATAGAGTCTTTGGAGGCAGTAGACAGGGTGGAGATGGTGGAAAAGGTGGACACACGATGGTCTGGGTTGTAGCCATTAGGGATGATTGACATCAAAGGCACTTCTATTCCACGTTCCTCCTCTTCTTTGTCTTCTTTCTCATCTTTTTCTATATCAATCTCTGTTGCATCCTCCTCGTCATCATCAATGTAAACCTCTTCTTCTTCCTCAACCTGCTCATTAGTGATGAGATCATCAGGGTCGTTCTCCAAAAGGGTGTTCAGAACATCTGAAGGAATCAAAACAGATGAATATAAATCACATTCAGGAGAGTGAAAGCTGTCTTTTGAATACAGAGCTTCGTATTCATGTTATCAAGCTCACTGTTATCATGTTACATTATGCTGTGCAGCAAATCTAGGGTCACAGACAGAAGCAACACACACACAAATTAAATATACTTTGTGTTGGAAATAAGGCTCTTATGTCTGTCATCACAGAATTGGAAAGAGAATTCTTGGTGCTGAAGCAAGTGGGATGATCTGTCATATGGTTAAATTATGAGAGAATGGGGCCCTGGGCACATATCAATGTAATTAAGTATCATACTGAATACTTTACCAAAGTTATCTTTTTCCCAGTGAAACATGTAACACTTGGCTGTTGGCAGGGGCAATGTCTGCAGCATTCCTGAGCATGATATCAGAAAAAAGAACAAAATAACAGACTATCAGAGCAGTATTTAGAGGCAAAATCAAAACTATGTCATATACAGGATATATACCCCAGACTTCATAAACCCCGTTCCTCTTACCATCAGACTTCCTTCCATTGGATGCTTGGATTCTCAGCCTCTCCCTCAGTTTCTCCAGTCCCTGGATCACATGACTACGCCCCTTCAGAGGGTCATGTATGGCAGCCGCCTCCTCTAACATATCACTTAACTTAGAGAAGATCACTCCCAGGTCATTCACAGTTTTCCCCTGCAAAGGGTAGTTGAAATATAAATGCACGTCATGTTGAATTCTTCTATTAGTGTATTGTCTATAACTGCATTTTTAACTGTATTCTTTTAATAGCATGGATTTAATATGCAAATGATGCAATGCGGTTTTCCATACATCACAGTATCATGCACAGCCTTTTCACAGCTACCTTGAAAATCATTTTAAATGCAGGATTTAAGGGGGAATTCAGTTTTAATTGAAAACTATTGATACGTACAAATACTGTATAACAATTGATTCTGTAAAATAACCACATACCACATTTGACATCTTACACAAAAATATCATATTATTGTTTTTGAGCAGCTTCTATAGATCCTAGTCCTTCATCTTGAGCCTTCTATCCACTGCCCTGCACACATACCTGCAAGGCTCTGTGGATGCTGTGCAGAGGGTACTTGGTGCCTAATGTGGACTGGAAGGCATGTTTGATCAGGATGATGTAGGTCTCTTTCTGTGAGTGCTGAATGCGACTGAGCTGCTCAGCCACTGAGAGAAAGTCAGCGGGCACCTCATCGGGATTCATTAGCAGCACTGTCCTACAGGCAGCAGACACATAGCGTCACCGATAATGTTTGAACTAGAAATACACTATGTAGATGCAGACAGGATGCTAGACTGGTGGTGGAGTTTGATGGGTAGAGGTCAAGGATGAAAAGGGACTTTCCAGATCATGAACCTATGGTAAGTGCTAGCCACCTAAGTGCAGTAATTCCCTTAACTAAAAAATACTGAGTATTTTTTTTAAGTATGATGTCAGATCAGATACACTTCCTCTGAACTAGTGCCATGAATGAAAAAACCCCACCCATTTTAACCAGAAAGCAGAAGCTACAAGAGCACAAAACAAACTAACAAGTTAAACAGGACTGACTGCCAGTTATAAATAATATAACTAGGTCTTGTTTAGAATGAAGCACTGACAAGGTCAGTGCTCAACTGTGAGAAAGTGAAGAACTGTTTGTTCTACTATAAATGCTAATACTGTATATTATATTGCTCCATAGTCTGTAGAAGTACACATATACCTTAACACATATACTGTACATGACACAACCACTCACACGTCAGTGATCAGTGTCAGTGACACTGCGTGGACTTACATGGTCTTGGAGCACTGGCTGGAGGTGTTAAGGCCTTGCTCTTCTCTCACCAGTCTCTGAAAGGAAATCCCTGCAAGGAAAACAAAAGAACAGTTGATGAGTTTTACAGTAACCACCTGAATAACATAATGATAATCATGGCAGTGTCCTGATAGAATAGTCGCAGACAGATTAAAAGTCACTTTAACTGTAAAATGCATTTGATTTTGATTTTTGATTTGATTTGATTTATTCTTTCAAGCATATACAACAGTTGATATAACAACACACATTTTTACACACAATCCAATATCAATTTGCTTATACCCAGTACATGCTTGAATGGAGTAGGAAGAAGTCAGACTTATCCAGTCCTACCCCATGACATCATCTTACCATCATTGGTTTGCAAGCAGTAAATGATTCACTTCTACACACACACATATTATACTAAAAAAAGAATATAACAGTGTTAACATTCTTAAATCACACAATTGATATACTAAAGAATGGTTACAAAATATAATCATTGAGCCTGTTCTTGCATACTTGTAATTAATTTTTATTCCACCAGGTAAACACATCTGTGCTGCTTTAATTTTGCCCTAAAGTTGCTGATTTGCTCCTTCTTTGCACCAGATATCATATCTCATGACTCATAAAGAGTGAAACAGGCATGACAAGATAAATGGGGTGTGTACAGGCATGAGATCACTCTCAGTAGACTTTTGGAATGCATTATTTCATACATTGTGCAGCGAGTCAGAAAGTGAAACTTTGAGAAACATATTCACATACGCCCTGGCAATTAATTCACTTTGACTAACTGCAACCCCACAGGTCCTTCACTTTTGACAACATGAATGATGAGTTAATTTTCAACAGCTACTTTTGTCAGAACTGAACACTGCATCTTAAGTTGTAAGAAACTTAAATTCAAGAAATAGCTGTCAAACACAGAAGCACTTTTGTACATACTGTGCTGTATATGCCTGTTGTAATGAGGTGTTTGTAGGCTTAGGGTGCCCAGACAGAGATTCATTTGAAGTCTCATGATGTAGAAAAGTTTGAGAACCACCATAAGCTGTTCTTGATCATTAATATGCTCTTGGATCCTTTAATCACATAAACTAATGCAGCTATTTTATTAGTACTCACTCCTTTCCCTTTTCATTGTGATTTATGACCAGTGAGGATTTTTGCTTTGTTGAGCTTGTGTGTATTTTTTTAAACATGAAAACAACCTAAACATAAATGTACAGTACTGATGGATAATATTCTCTTCTAGTGTCAAACCCAATGAGAATTGTCATCTTGGGAAAAACTGGAGCTGGGAAAAGCAGCTTGGCAAACACCACATTTGGAGAGGATGTGTTCAGGGTTTACGATTCTTCAAACTCTGGAACAAGAGAGTGCAAAGCAGTGACCAATACTATCAATGGAAGAAACATCACTTTGATCGACACTCCTGGTTTGTTTGACACAAATAGATCAGAGGAGGAGATGAAGCCTGCGATATTGGAGTGTCTCATGGAGTGCGCTCCTGGGCCTCATGCTTTTCTCATTGTGCTCAAAGTGGAGAAATTCACAGAGCAGGAGAAGGCTGTCATCGATAAAATAAGTGAATACTTTGAGGAAAAATTATTTAGATATTCAACAGTTCTCTTTACTCATGGAGACCAGCTCTCTGAGGGAGATACCATTAAGGAGTTTGTTTACCAGAATGAGCTTATGCGTGACCTGGTGAAGAAGTGTGGTGATCGGTGCCACGTCATTGATAATAAATACTGGAAGAACAGTCAACAGGATGAATACAGGAGCAACAAGTTCCAGGTGAAAGAGCTGCTCAACACTATAGAGAAGATGGTGGAAAACAACAAAGGCTACTACACTAATAAAATGCTCCAAGCTGTAGAGAGTGAAATACAGAAAGAAGAAGAGTCCATTAGACGGTCATCAGCAAACATGACACAGGAAGAGATCCGAAAGCAGGCTCAAATCAACGTCTTTAGCAAGCGGGTGGACAAAGCACCACAAAGATGGATTCAACATTTTTTGGGTTTGGCAGTTGTCGTGGGGGTGCTTGCAGCTATCTCAGCTGTGCTGATGAATTTAAAATAATAAAATTTGGCACGGCACTGCCAGAAGTGCCAAAATCTGCTGAAGAATTTATAGAATCACCATCAGCAGTGGTGGAAGATTACATAGCTGAGAAAGTTGTGGCTCCGCCAGCCAGTAACATAACAGAGGCAGGTT